TCAACTCCTGAGCTTTCGATTTACATGTACATGTATGAAAACAGCTCGTAAGAAAGCTGACGCCAGCCATTGCATTACTGACATCTAATATACAGTTGTACCTAGTGCATGTACCAGCTGCTCTAGTTGGGTGAAAAACCTATCAAATAGGCGTATTCTACAGTAATGCAAGTCAACTTCGGCAAAAAAAGAAGCACCAGACTAGACTGATCCCAGACCAAATTAAACCAGGCAGGTTCCATTGCAAACAGCTTATGAGGGCGCCTAGTCTCAAGGGACATACCAAGATGTTTCAATCACTGCACTATTACATGTACGGGCAGGTAGTGGTGGGGCTGTGCAAATAGACCATAGTCACAACATTTACATTTTAAAGTGAAGGCTGATTTGCCCAGCAAAAGTCACCCTGATGAGCCTTGTCTTCTCCATGCGAGGGAAGTTTCACCAAATGTGCAGGTCCAATCAATACACCAAAACATGAACTTCAATTCACCCCAAATGTTTCACAATGACAAGTTTCATCACGGTCCCGGTATATACGGTAGTGGTATTTTACATGTGAGCCTATCATATTTTTTTACTTAATGATTTTTAAGTGTCTCCCTTCACTTTTTTTCCTCACCCCAACAACTAAATAGAATTTCACTGAATGGCATGGCGGGCACCACATCAAGTAGTTCAGTTTTCCACTGTTTAAAGTTCAACTTGTACAGAAACACAAATGTCCAGCCGAAATCCGTCGCGTTGCTCATTGTCAACGCACCCTATGGGCAGATTTGCTAAAGCAACCACAGGAAAAAAGGGGAGAAATAACATGCACTTTTCTGCATTGTGCCACCAAAACTGACAGGATAACAATGGGAAGCAAAGTGCATTACCTTACAAGGGCAAACATGAGTGCACAATAGCCGTCCAATAATATAAATCTACTGTACCTATCAAGCCCTACATTACAGTCACCATTCACAGCAAGGAAAAAGAGAAATGTAGGCCGACATGTAGCAATCTGCCACTACATGGTGTACTTCTACTAATCATGCCTAGTGGACAGAGATTACAAGGAATGTACATGCACTTTGATCTATTGACAGGTTCACACTATGCTGGGCAAGGGTCCACACTAACCACATACATGTACATGTATACCGGTATGTGCAATGTACATGTATGGCTATGGATGCAATGACCTTCGCACAGCCTAGGCACACTGAACATTTTTTTACATGGTTCAGTTCCTCCTCAGTATGCACATGAACACAACCCAGTGTGACATAATAAAATGTAGGCCTACATGTACCAGTACATGTTACATACACATGTACATGTACATGTGACGAAATAAGACATACATGTTGGCCCAGTGAAGCTTGTGAACACCATGGACTCAAACTTGTCACCATCATTTGGTTCAGTGAAGCACACTTTGCGAGTGTAAATCTTCCTCATCTGCAAATCGTGTGTTCTGGCAATACGCCACGCCCTCGTAAAACCAACTTTCTTTCTACATGTAATACTGGTGCACCCATGTAAAAGCTTTTTCCCCCTAGAATGAATCCTTGGGGTGAGTTTGCCCCGGGGATGGCCCAGGGCTGCCCCAGAGTGACCCCTAGTATTTCATCTCCCCCCACCCCCAAGTTCAACCCAGATTCAATTCACACTTGTTTTTCCAAAACCATACCTCTTCTGGGGGGAGGGGGGGTGAGTTTGCCCCGGGGATCGGTCCCATCGTTTCACATTTGTTGGGTGGGCTTACGCTTGTAACCTAGTGCGCATGCAGGACTTTGCGGCACAGAGCAGAAGTGGGCAGAGATTTTCCCAGAAAAACTTGGCCCTGCCAGTGGGATCGACATGACCGATGATACTTGTAAAGCAGTTTGTTTATTTCTTTTCCATTTGTTCATGAGATAAAAAGATATAGCGGCAGAGACAATGAGAAAAGGCAAGTGACTCTTCTTTGTCAAAAGTGTCAACAAACTGCCCCAATGTTAATGGACCATCAGCGTCAACGTTTCCTAAATTCCTGGCACTCTTGTTGGTGACCTTTGTGCCGTTGTTTTCCCCATGGCAAACTGGCCCCCTCCCCACCCGGTTCACACTCCTCTTCTCACCCTGGGGAAAGCGTCTCGCCCTGGGGTTAAAAAATTTCAACCCTGGTCCCAAGCAGGGTTGAACTCGCTCCAGGGAAAGAGTAATCTCTGGGAGGTGGCAGGGGGGGCGAGGGTAGTGAGAATTTAAAGTGGGAAACTAGCTTATTTTACCCCTGCGTCACCCCAGGGCCACCCCCTCCCAGATTTGGTCTAGTGGGAAAAGGCCTTATTGTGATGTACAAAAACTAAGGTACACTAGGTTCATGTACATGTACTGTAGTCTGTACGAGTACATGTTTGTGTATAAAGTTGGCCATTTCAATCATCCTACCGGTAAGCCAGTCTTGCCCAGTTAATTGACATGTAATGTACATGTATATGTACATGTACATGGTACACAGATGTTCCTGTCCACTAATATGTTCATCAAATCAGGTTGGTTTTTCAATTTCCTGAGCTGGTGGTTTGTAGCTATGATTTACATGTACCGGTATGAGTTTCAGTATTTGGATGGTCACAGATGAGTTATTACAAACAAAATGTATGTCAAGTACATGTATGTATGTACATATACTAATATACACAAAACCATGGTGAATATGTCAATCTGTTGAAACTCCACGAATTACTTATTGAACAAAATCCTTGGGATAACTCACATTGCTGCTATTTTTTCCATTGCCCAAATGAAAACCATTCAGAAATGCCTTGGAAGCCAACTTTGCAACAGGGCTTACTAAGACTCCCCAAATCCTGTTTTCTTTGTTTCACCTACCAGTATAAGAGAAATGTAACTTTTACTAAACACCCAATTGAACACAGTATCCTTTCTTGAGATAATTATGACGAGGAGGAAAGATGTACCGGTAGATATCTACATGCATGTACAGGTGGACACTGCTTCCAAACTTTGTTTAGACAGGGCATCTCTCAATAAATACAAAACGGAGACAACCAACATGTTATTGTTTCAGATCTTCTTGGAAACCAAGGCAATTCTTCTCTCTTGGGGTGGCCTTCCCCTGACCTGCCCGACTTGCCATACCGCAATACCCATGCTGCCTGTTTCCTCCATGCAGAGTTATAATACTGCTGACTTGGTAGTCGCCGTCTATCTAGTGGAGCCATCTGATGTCATCTGTCATCCTGAACCCTTACAGTAGTTCTCTAGAGATGCCTAAGCAGACGCTAAGAATAGCTAGTGATGTATTGGTCTGTGGCAGACAGGAGGACACAGGGGGAATCTTCACAACTGGCATCTCTGGATAAATAATGTGATGTCAATTGCAACTGAGACCAGCTAAACTGGGCACTTGACCATCATGGGACTGTGGTGAGATGCAATTAAGGACTGGTTATTGTGGACAAGAATAAGTCACACTGGAGTGGGATTATGTCCCCCCATCCATCAAGCTAAGACTAATGATTGGCTGGATAGGAAACAGATTTGGCAGTTATGTAGACTTGAGGGAAACAGATGTGGACATCAGTACACTTTACCGGCAGACAAATTGCTTACAAATGACAGTAACTGTGCTGCAGTCATCAACATTGCCATCCAAGAAAGTGTCCCAACATCATCATGCATCAGGCATTCATTTGCAAAATCAATGCTCTTGAAAAATACTTTTCAACTCACTTCACAATGGCAACCATAGCACTTTCATACTAAATCAATGACGAGCCATTAAAAAGGTTCTGTGTATAAATTTCATTATTTTACTGTAGTTAACTCTAGTGAAGCTTAAAGTATAAATTCTGTTACCCAATCGATCGATGCATGTTCATTCAGTTGAAATTTGGTGTCTATATATACAAACCTACATTGCGACAATCAAGGCATCCTTGGTCAGGAAGTATAAGAATGGGCAAATATGTGTCCTGCCATAAGTTTCAAATGTGGACGCCACACCCAATTTTTTCCTACAGCAAAAAAAAGTTGGGTGAGGAACAGGGAGTGCCAATTTGATAATAATAAAACGTGTGAAAGAATGACTTACTGACTGAGAAATAACCATAAACTTGCTGCCTGACTCTTTATAACATTTATCCAACTTTTCAGCCAGCCTAAGGTTCTGTTTTTTTTTTACTGCCAGTGTTTTAATTTAATGAAAGAGGCAAATGGAACTTACTGTCAAGTAACTGAAACCTATAGCAAAGTAAGGGAAGTGTACATGTACATGGAGGTCCATAATAAGATAGGGGAGAAAAGTCAACAAGAAAGGTTTGAAGCAAGAATGCAATTTACACATTGTAAAAGCTACAAGACAAGACCAAAACTTTATCTTGGGCCACACACTGCACAGCCATCAGCGACACCTCAGGTGTCAACAAAGCCATAGCTGCACTGCCAAGGCAAGCCCAGGAATAAATTAACTCATCCACAGATAAACTTGTGGTTCGCCACAGGTATGTTTGAGGGAATCCCTCAGAGTGTGGTTGTACAAGGCCATCCCAGGAAAAGAAAATTGCCACTGCCGGCCAGATCTGCCAATGATCCACAGTGAAGCTGTGGTACAACTTGAGATAATCCAGGCAATAACTCCATGGTAACAGGAAAAACATCATAAAGGAGACCTCTGAAGTCATCAGAGCACAGTGACAAGTGAATCATTCACAGTATTTCTCTCACAGTACATGTACAAGAGAAACCTGAAGAAAATATCAAAATATGATTTAACTTACATTATGTACCAGTATATTATACAATTCCAAATTTAATTAAAGCAACATTTGGAACAAAGTACGACAAATATAGACACTTTGCTGAAATTTACTGAAGGACAAAGGAGTCAAATTCCGATGTCAAACATCCACACGAACACAGCTAAAATCTTTATGATGCCCAGCAGAACACTGTTGCGAAAAAAAAGTGGTTATAAACTATTTTTGTTTTAACTATTTCTGCCTTACCTCCTTCCGTGTGTCCAGACTGCAAGGCTTCAGCACAATCTTCCGGGCTCTCAAACTGAAAAGGGTTCTGACAGCCCAGTACATCACTGTTGCACTCACACAGACCGTGATGGATATTACAGCCAGAGTGAAGTTTCTCACAGTCTTGCGGCACACCCAGAAGCTGGGGGCCGGAGCCAGACCCAACATATTCTGATATGCGAAGATCTGGTTTCATTTCTGTTCAGGGCATAAAAAACAGTTTCCAAGTCAGGAAATGTAAAAGAGCAAGTCTTTAACTGCATCTTGAAACTGAAATGAGTAACTGTTTCATTATTTCAAATTAACCTAAATTGAAAAGGCCTCAAGGGGTGTAATGGTAGAGTGGTGTACATGTAAGTTGCATACTCATTTACAGGTACCCAGTATTGCAATAATATAACCTTGTTACTTTGAACCTTAAATCACACTGCATGAAAGGCCACAAAAGGGTTCATCTGTTGTTATTTAAAACTGCAGTTACTGATAAAGTCATTAATGTACATGTACATGTACACTGACGAGTACATGTACATGCAGGATGCATGTTTCAGCTATGCTTTGCTGAGGATGATCAGCACTGGGAAATTGAACAGGTTCATTTCATGATGCACACAGGTTGAACACAGAAATTGACTGGAACTAGTAGTTAGTAACCTCCAGTAGACAGTACCAGTGCTCTACCAACAATTTTGGATGGGCGGTTTTTACTCGTTCATCACTTACAAACCCCATTTTTTCATAAATCTTTAACATTAATTAAGAAATCTCCAAACTTCCTTCTAAAATATTGGGCATGGTGAAAACATGGGCTCAAAAAGCACCTAGGGGTGGAAGTTTCAAAATTTTACTGGAAGTGGCTGGGAAAGGAAGGGCAGATTCACTGAAAATCTTCACAGTACGGTATTTTAATAATAACCTTCTCTAGGGTCACTTGTTGGGGGCTGCAGCCCACATGTGCCATACTGCACATCTTTATTTATCATGTCAATCCATTGTGCTATTGTGCATTCAATAACTTTTCTTCGAAAGTACAGAAAAAAAAATCATCAGCTGTTTAGCATGCTGGCAATTGTGGGGGTATGTACACTGTACCACACCATAGTATGCATGTAGGCGGGATGGGAGATCTGTGTTTATTGATCTTTGAAGTGTGAAATCCAATCAGTTGCACAAACAGGGCAATGAGACTCTGGGGTGGCATTAATTACTGGTCCATTAACAACAGCCAGGAATCCAACTGACTTAACCTAAATAACACTGTAAGAAGTAATCAGCTCTTAAGTACCTGTACTTAGGTCACCAACACAAATTGGAGTAATTGCTTAATCTGAAAAGTTTATTGCTGGAAAAAATCTGGGAGGGCCAAGTGGTCAGCCCTTCATTGCCCTTATGCATTGTACGTGTATGTACATGTACACTGTACATACCGTACAAAACTACAGTTGCAGTGAATTCATAACTGAATCAAGATCCTAATGCTTGGTCTAACCATTGCCCAAGCTCAGTAGTAACGCACAACAATGATTAGATGGTCTATTCATTCCTCTGTGTGCAGTTTTTATCAATGAATCAATATTTCTCTTTCTCCTGGAGTATGAAACAAATACAAATTTATGAGAGTTTCATTTAAACACAGGTACATGTAAATGTACATGTAACTCATCTGACAAAATCTATTTGAAATTGGCCAGTGTCCCAAATTGGTTATTAATGCAGAAAACTCATTTCATTAGAAATTTCTGTAAGTTTCACAACTATGGGGCCTCATTGGAGATTGAATTCTAAAATGGCCTAAGTAACAGTTTAACAACTTTTAAAGGGGAAATGGTCTGTGTTGAGAATGCATGGTCAGAGTGACTGGGTGTGGGATAGCCTTTCTCCCCTGGGGCGCTGGCGACAGCAGCCAAGGGGGTTCAGGACACCAGACTCCTTAAAAGGCCTGCCTCAATCGCACCCAGCCATCTCAGCTTTCCGATTCTCTTCCCTCTCGCCTCCTCTGCATTCCACAGTTATTAGTCTCCATTTCCAAAGCTGGCAAAGAAACTTGACCTTCATCACGGGCGAGGCCGCCAATAAATTGTTGTGTCTTTGTTTCACCCATTGTTTACACTCCTCTAGCATTTGCTGAATACTTCGGCCACTTGGGCCAGCCTCTTGAAATATGCAGACTGCTGAGGAATGCACAGGGCGAGAGGGAGTCTCCAAGAATCCCACAAACTATACAAGAAAGGAAAGTTGACAAAACTTGGCTGAGGTGTTTTATTTTTTTACCTCTAGCTTGAGACATTACAAGGTACATGTACATGTACACTGTACATGTATGAGAACCAATTAGGCCTAAACACCAATTCACAGTCTAAACCTTTATAGCAGTGTGATGAAGCTCATGTCAAATTTACATTCACTTAAAAGGCAGAGAGTGTAGAATGTTTTTAAACACACAACTACATGTAATATAACGTTTAAAAGGGTCCAAAGATTGCTAAAATGATTGTGTGTCATTTGTGAAGCAGCAACTCTCTTTTCCGGGACATTTTCCACAATGGAAAGTTACAAAAAACAACTGGCAATGAACAAATATATATCTACATGTGGCTCCACACCACTTGTTAACACACCAACATCTTACATGTACACCCATGCATGCAGCATTCAGTAAAAGACCTTGGTCTCACACTACTTCACTCCATTGATAATCATTAGGCACAGTCAGTGACTTCCACCAACCTGGGATTGTTCAACCTTCGCATTCCATCTTCCAAACACCTGTGCTGTTTTTTTCAATAGGCTCCAAAGAATGTTAAGACTAATCTTTGGGGCCTGTCCAATTTCAACCCAGTACCACTACCAGTGCAGCGGTAGCAAGTTCCCCAGCTACTAATACACAATCCAACTGAAATACATGCGGGAAAATTATCACTAAATTTGAGTTGCCTTGTGGCAAATCAATAATCAATAGTTAATAGCTGGTCAAATTTCCAAATGATATTTGCTTGTTTGCTTCATGCAAGTGCACATCATGCTCAGTACACCTACATGTACATGAAAATCACAGATCTGTAATTGATTTTGTTCAGTAACTGAATTAGTTCCTTCATGTACAAGTATGTGAAGAGGGTTAGTGTTACTATAAAGAAAAAAACAGCTTTAGTATTGGGAGGGAGATGATTGAAACTGTGCCTGGAAGTTTCACCGAGATGATATTATAAATGGTCAAACATGGCTAGTGTCTACTCTACACTTGGTCTTTTGACTCACTGTGATTTTACTAAGATCATGGGAGAAGAAACCAAGCTGTCTGTGTAAATGACTCATGAGAGTGCTTTGCAAAATCTCTTCACATTTACCAGAAACAAGTGTTGTGCTTTCTGTCATAAGATACTGACACCCTTCACTGTCGTCTCGAAATGATAAAACTGGTATGGCATCAACTGAATTTCCACCTGTATCAATGACAGTATCTACCATGACTGCAACCAACACAAGAGCACTGCACCAGAAACTTGCTAAGTAACGCGCTGCATTACAGTCAAACGTGCAAAGCATGCGTGGTGTCTCTGTGCTGCGTGACCTTGTGCTCGAGCCGGATGTACATGTACGCTTCCCAGAGCTACTTTCAGCACCGCGCACGCACTGTCCCTACTCGACTCATCTGGTCAGTTTTCCTGGACAGCAGTTAGCCTGTAGAAGTAACCGATGGACTCGGGGAAAAGTAACTGAGAGGAAAACGTCCCAGGTTGTTTGCACTGGACTTGAAATGGGAAAAGTACATGTACATGTGTACCCATGGCATCCCCTTGTCCTATGCAGACAGGGCTTACGACTTGTAAAGCTGGTTCCTGACATGCACACTTCAAATGACATTCATGCATACCCAAACAGTTAAGGACTCCCCTTCGTGCAATTCAGGACACTGTAAATTCATACTGTGCCCTAAACAAAAATTTATTTTTCCTCCCGAAAGAAACTCTCCTCTAATAACCAAATCCTGGCTACTGCGACACTGAAAAAAAAAAAATTCCGAAGGGTAATGTACTCATTTTACTTCAAAAGGTCAAGTATGAGTCATCTTACTGCTCAAGACAGTCAGACATGGTTATCACAAAAATCCCATCCAGAAATTTTCCAAGAAAATAACATTTGGCTGAAAAAGATGTCTCTTTCGGCTGTTGGTTTGTTTTCTGTGAAGACAGAAAATCACACACATGTACTGAAGAACGGACAATGTATTGTAACAATTCAAGTTCAGTTTTGTATTAGGACAGTACTTTGACAGAAAAGCAAACACATATCCCTGACCATGCTAAGCCCAATGATATCCAACAGTGGTCATTTTCTGCGGGGTGTTTTGATGTAAGAAGTAAACAGACCTTTATTTTAGCTGTTGAATTCTGTTGGATTCAACAGGGTGCCTACAGAAAACCCAAAGGAGGTTAGGGTCGATTCTGGGTGTCAATTGCTTTTCAAAAGTTGGGGGGGGAGGGGACATAACCTTGTAAAGAACTAACGTGAATGCGAAGCACAAACCCCTATCAGCCGACTAAAAGTATTCTAGATGTTTTGCCAAGGATCCGAGGCAATTTCTGACCAAGTTATACTATTTTTTAGCACATCTGCATTTGGAGATTTATTTCATTTTCGAATAATTTTCATCTGAAGTGTGAATCAAATGTAGACCTATATGTACTGGTACTCCCCCTACATGTTTAAATTAGGGTCTGGAAAAAAGTGGAAAGAACAAGTGATATCAGACGACACGATAAAGACATGATACATGGGAGACTTGTCCCCCAGCCCCCATCGATTGACACCCATGGGATTGATATGGGAAAATTGTACATACATGTATAAGAATACAATACCTTGGCATATTCCTATGGCTTGCTCTGGCACAGCCTCACCAAATTCCAGACTGACCGAACAAATTAACCCTTGGTCACACTGTCCAGCCAGGTCATACTGACCACCACACGATTCGCCCAGCTGTTTGGCACAAACCATGCAGCAGGCACATGGTCCGTATACCTTCCCGCCCCGGCAGTCAACTTGTGGGCATTCTGAAGGGTCACAGGGCCCACCACAAGACAGGGCACTGGCGCTCGCTACCAAGCAAAGTACAAAGACCACTAGCGACATTGCAACATCCAGCTTCAACAGTCCACGTCTTAGGAAGATTGTCCGAGGATCTGTCATTCCAAACATGGGTTCACTTCCAAAGAATGAGCTGTGTTTGAAAACGAGTAGAATTTCACAGGGTTCTTGGATCAAAGTTAAGTCAGCTCATTTTAATCTTAACAGCTTACACCGAAATTATTAGAGGTGGTGCAAGGCAGGTGACAGTTAGCTCCAGACCTGAAAAAGAAAACAAAAACACTTCTATAAACTTTTTCAGTACACCCAGTTAAACGTTAGTTTCTCCAAAGTTTTACGGTTTACAGGACAGCACACTTTCAAGATTACGTGATATGTCAAATGCATCGATTCTAATCTCAAACATATATCCACAAACACAGCACATCAACAATCTATAAATGAAGTTATCTGTAATTTAGGTTAAGTTATTAAAGACCTGAATCTTACCTTCATGTTCATGAGCAAAGCGGGGAATGGTTGTCAGGAACTTTTTTTCAAGTAGGTAAAAATAACAGAGAAATGTATACCAATTTTTTTTCAAATTTTTATGCATTCTGCAAATTTAATGATAAAAATCTTTAAGTCAGCCCCAGAAAAGTATACTTTTAACAGAACTGTGGACTTTGTCATCCCCCACATTCCACATGGGAGGACAGTGAACAACTGACCCTACACTCTAGTTCTTGCATGGCTGGGGGTAATTTCTATTTACTTCAAATTAATGTATAATGTTGGTGCCCACATGGATCTTGTATGACTCTTCATATATTTTCATGCATTATTCAACCCACATTTGATACATGTTGACACTAGTACTAAGCAGTTAGTCTTTAAAAATCTAGGGTCCACTAACAAGACTTTACTATGTGAACATAGTTGCTGACAATGTTACATAATGTAACAATGACATTAACATGTAGGCCTAGGCTTACATTGTAAGCATGGTTGAGCACTTCGGCCGAACCCTTATAGTTCAGACATTTCATCAAGACCACAACAGCTAGGCCTATAACCAGCTTAAAAAGAAACTTGATTATTACAATACAAGCAAGCTCCCAGACCACACATTTCACAGCTACGCAAAAGCACACGTGGTGATCCATCGACTCACCTCTGCTTTCCGCAATTGATGCGGCCCCTCTAAAGCCTATTCCCTTTCTCGAAATTTGGACGGTCAGTTTTGAATTTCACGCATTGTCCATGCAGCACTTCCTCTTATCTTCAGTGAGCACTTCAGTCTTTACCAGGCGATCCTTTGGTTATACGATGGATTTCCGAAGTATGAGAGTGGTGAAGTTGCAAGGTCGCTAACTACGTTAATGCTTCAGCGTTCTGTGCTTGAGCAACGTACTGCGCACATAGTACAGTGGGATATGCAGTACACCTACAAGTGCGCAGCTGATGTGTTGGTGACCTGCTTCTCAAAACATGCGCACTCGCTGGGCTACTAGTGGTGCAGGTTGCGTGCAAGTGAAGTGCAACTGCCCAGTATTTGTAAACTGCACACAATATAAATGATGACACCAAGGGGCTAACCGACCGCAGACTTGATTGGCAGAGGGAAAAGCTAGCCTTTTTTAAGTCTGCGAAAATAATGACTTGAATGTCGGGTCTCATAGTCTAGAACAACAAGATACTAGATTATTTGATATCTTTGTGAGCCATCTAAGTTAATGTATTTGAGGCCAACTAATAAATGTTTTATATCCTTTAATTGAGCGTAATGGCGCAACTACCCAGCATGTTTGTTCTAGTGCCTTACTGCTCCCAAGCTTCGCAATGACAGACCGTACCCACGGGGTGCGGATGTGTGATAATTAAAAAAAAAAATCCGTGACGATACCCTAAGTCGCTCCCCGGAATACCCATGTCCCCATAGCAACACTATACACTCCAGACGTACATGTATATATTACCAAACTAGATTCTTAAAACGAATTCCTGAGATTGCTGAACAAAAAAACCAAGGTGGGAGATGTTCAGTGGCGCTGGGGTTATTTCCGTGGGAGGGGCCACAACGGTTATGGAAGCAAAACGAACTGTGTCATACGCAGTGGCGTAAATTTCTGCCGAAAATGGGGGGGTGGGGATGTGGAATATGTGGGTATGGGGGATGACTTGCCCAGCCATGGCAATTTGAAAAGCGGTGGGGAATGGCACTATATAACACTGTACATGTACATGGGGCGATGCTCAGATGTACATGCACATCTGTATGGCGCGCATAAGTAACATTTATTCAGTTTTTAAAGTGGTACCCTTTGATTATTTCAAGATATCTCGAAATGGATTTTGAGATATATTGAGATATCTGTAAATCCATTTTAAGATATCTTGAAATCTATTTTATGAAATCTCAAATTCATTTCGAGATATCTTGAAATTGATTACAGATTACTCAAACTGTTTTCAAGATATCTGAAAAAAAAAGATTTAAAAAGCGATTCATGCAGAATCTTACATCAAAACTGCATATTTATGGTTGTTAAAACCGCTCTCCTTTTTCATATGAAGCAAACTATGGGACGGAGAGAACCAGCCCCCCCCCCCGCCTTTGTATTGGTCGTTGTTATACTGGTATCTCAGGAATTCTTTTCAGACATCTAGGCGGGATATGTTAAGTGACAACAGGTTGGAGTGTGTATAGGGATTGGACTTGTTGGGGGTACCCCCTCTGTCCAATTTCGTGCCTGGTATATCCTTTTTTTAATTTAAGCGGTAGTAAATCCATTGTGATTTTTGGGAAGTCCGAAAAATTCTTCACAATCCGCTTAGATTATTTTCTCTCCACGAAAAAAGGGGGATGGTTCAAAATCCCACCCCCCTGATTTATGTCCTGGTCATGTGACATTTTAAAATGGGGGTATAGAGGATACAGGGCAAGGGAGGACGTCTAACTGGGCGTTCCTCGTTCTCACGTAGTTTAGCCACTCGAGATGCCTCTGCATTGTGTGTGACGTAAAAAAAAATAAGCATATTTTTTCTGCCTCCCAAACTTTGTTCATAGCTATACGATGTGGATGAAGGCCTGAACTTTTACACACTATATCCTCAGTATGATTGGTCCAAAAGCTCTGCGCTGCCGGATAAAATAATTACTCCATCCGTATGGTGTCAAAATGAGAATAATACCTCTATCGAGCTCCAGGTTCTTGGCGTGCTTGATAGAGGGCGCGAGACCATTTTTACGACATCCTGGCCTGCTGGGATTTTTAGGGTTGACCGTAATTTGCGCTTTATTCCTGTCTTGATAGGAACTAATCTTGGGAATGGGGCATATGGAGCCTTAGGGTTTTTGGACAGACATTCGATTGGTTCTGTGACAGCATTAATTAAACATATTATAAAGCTCTCTTCTTTTTTTCTAACTGGGGGCACGATAAACGGATCATATACCTTTCGAGTTCAGACAATCTCCCCTTGACTGTACTAGACTCCAGACAGACAGCCTATCTATTTGTAATGCTGACTGTTTATGTACAGTGTACAGTACATATATCTTGTACGACGCCATCATCATATCAAACCATAACAAGTTTCGTGTGTCACGACCACCTTCATGTTTGGTTTTCACCCATTTTTTCAAACCCATTTTATCCTTTATTTGCCGAAAATTCCCTAAAATTATTTGGCGCCTTGTTGACGTGATACTCTAAATATAATTTAAAGGAATTCCTCCCGTGTTGTAGCTTGTGTTGAGTAATGTTAGAAGACCCAAGTAAACCCTGAGTTCAATTCAAACGAGGATAGGAATTCGCGGCGCGATCTTTGCACAACACTGAGCTAGCTAGCGCATATAGCATGCATGTACGGCCGGCCTGGGACGGCCGCATGAGGTCGCCAAACTCCACCATTACATCCGCTGATAAAAGTGCGTGACGGATGGTGTTCGCATACCGAGTACTCGAGTAGGCGTAGGTCTGGGTGCAAACTGTGCAATACCATGCCAACTGTTCGGCTGAGGCCGTTTTTCACGCGAGGATCATAGCTGTAGTAAGTTTTTTTGCGTTTTTTTCCTTTAAGTAAAAAGAATCAAGAAGTTACTGTGAGCTACGAACTTATTAGTATTACCGTTTTCGGTTGGGGTAGGCCAGGGCTACTTACCGAACGGTAAGCATGGTAAGGTACTCCGTAGGCCTGTTTGGTCCATCTTTTTGATGGTTCCGTACGCTATGGCATTTTGAAAAGTGCCCTGCAATCGTACCAGAGAAAACATCCGTTTGCGCTTTCTGAAGCAAATCTTCCCCTATAATAATAGCTAACCTACATGTACATGTATATGGAACTACCACTGCACCAGGCACGAGTTTATTTTGTAGGGTTTGACCATGGCCATGGCTGAAGTTATTCCTTCCTCCATGCTGCTCCAAGGCAGTAGCAAAGCATAATCCATTTTGAAAAGTGGGGGGGGGGCATAACCCTGATCAGAACAAATGAGAGTACGAAGCGCAAAGTCCTGAGCAGCTTGGGGTCCAGGCCCACTCAAGGGCCCCGGAAAGTTTTGGAGTAAAGATGCCCTGGTGTGATCTGAGACAATTTCTGGCTACTTCAGCCATTTTGGTTAACAAATGATTTTGCAAGGTATACATTTTCATTTAGGTTTTGGAAAAAAGTGGAGGGGGGAGACAATTGATATAGTATCCCCCCCACTTGGAAAAGGGGAGGGGGGGATATGTCCCCCCATCCGCCACCGATTGACACCCATGCTAATACAGCATGGATGATTTTGCACAATGTCTGCGACCAGCTTTCCCAGTGTATTTATTGGAGGTTTTTCCAACAATCATTCTTTCAAATAGGACCTACGTTATCTTGACCAAATGGAAAGAATTCAGTGTGTAATCCTTACAACTGTGGTTACTCATTGTGCGTAAATAATTCAGTGTCCCTTTTGACATGATGGCCAGGTTTGGGTAACTCAAGAGCAATCTGGAAATCCTGTCCTGTGTTTGAAAAAAAAGTAATTGAATGGTCAAGCAATGTTCAGATGTTAGATAATCTTCAAAGGAGAGAAGTAGGGCTGAACTTACTTTTTCAGTTTGTGACTTGAACCATGTAGAGCCCTGTCTGTAATGCTTATCAACAAAAGTATGGAAAAGTGCTGATGAAAATTTAAAACACAGTACAGTTTCTTCTTCTTGAACAGAATACCAGATGTTCGTCTCTTGATAGGAAAGCCACAATGGAAGGACTTGGGTCGTGTACACACAAGGTGATTGATGCCTTGGTGTGGTTTGGACACCAGGTCCGCCAGTATGTGACGGTTGAACCTGTCATGCTGTTCTACATGCTCGGGAGTTTCCTCCAGTACTCAGCCGTTATTCAACTGCTATATCTCAAGCTGTGCGTGATCAAGTTCAACGATACTTTGGCTTGTCGGAATCTGAGCGGTCACCCTGACATGGAGAGGTACACGCAGGATTCCGCCTCCACCTGGCTGATCGTTCTCAACGCTTTCCTGACCATATCTTCCATTGTCAGCACTCTGTTCTACGGGGCCTGGTCGGACAGGGTGGGACGACGGATTACAATCATTCTCCCAGCTACCGGGTCCGTCATAAATGGCATCGTCTTGATAATCTGCGCAAGGTATATGTTCTCGTCCATTTGGTATGTCGTTTTGGGCACTGCCTTGATGGGGGTGTTTGGCAGTTTCCCCACACTCACCACTGCTGTATTTAGTTACCTGGGAGATGTAACGACCACCGAGAACAGGACAATGAGGTTTGGCATTTTGGAAGCCATGACCTTTTCGGGTAGCTTTATTGGGCTCATCACAGGAGGTGTCGTCATTGATAAGGCGGGCTACATAGCTGTGTTTGCTTACTACATTGCCTGTAATGCCGCAGTGGTTCTCTACACCATTTTCTGGCTGCGGGAATCTGTGCCCGGTTCATCTTCATCGAGCACCATCGCGGACACTGACAGTAAGGTACTCGTCGACGACGTGGACAGTCAGGTAGAAACTGATTTGGGGATGCCCGACACCACATCAAAGGGTTGTTGCTGTCAGCTGATGCGATTTGAGAACATTAGGAATGCCATTTGCATTCTAGTCAAAAAGCGGCCCCGTTATGGAAGGCTTCAGTTAGTCCTACTGATCATGTGCCTGTTCACTCTTCAGCTAGTTGGAGAAGGTATTAAATATGCCCGAAACCTCTGACTTGATATCTAGATGAATAACTCATATGATCACCGTATTCTCAGGAAGGTCTGCACTCTGTAGTAATGGGAGAATTGTGTGTGCTATTGTTGAGTGTTAGGGATGTACCCCAGTGAATAAATTCCCATGGACACCAGTGATAAATCCCTATACGTGTACTTCAAAATTAAAAAAAAAACAACTCTCACAGGTGTTCAGGCTGCACAGAAAAATGATCGAAATGTCATGTTTCATTTTTCTTTCAATTTCTGATGGGTTGACCAGTGACTTTGAGAAATTCTCACCCAAAGCAGACCCACCTCTGAAACGAGGGATATTTCCCCAACTGGGACAAGTAGCCAGTTTGAAAAAGCATCCCTCTGCAAAACAGCTAAATAGTGCCACTTGCCACCAGATTGCATCCAAATAGCTCCAAATTGGAAGCAAAATTCCCCAATTCCGGTCCTCAAAACTCTCTAATATAAAAGAACTTGAGTGTGTAACTTTTATTTATGGGCTCAGTGGACAGATTTTTGGCCCATTTACCTAGGTGCACCCTTTGATAGTGTATTTTTATGACACCTGATGCCATGCTTCTGCCATTTTGAGGGGCTTCAAGGGCTTCCCTGATTTACATTAATCAGGCAAGTTGATTATGTATACACATGTCACATTAATGGCTGACATAAAGCTTTAACCAGTATTTGTTGTATTTTTTTTCAGGGTTTACCGACACGATTATTCTGTATCTCAAGAAGGATCCGCTTGAATTTGATGCTTCAACGATTGGTTAGTTGGCATCATAGTACGAGTCCTGTTCCATTTACATATACCTTTGGTTTGGTTGGATGAGAGTTTTGGGTAGGGTAGGTTTGGTTCAGTTCAACTAAAATGCCTTCTACTTGCTTGTATTAAGGCATCATTGAAACAGTTGTAATTGTGGACATTTGGAGCAGCGGTTGATTTTTGTCAGTGTCTGTCGTTTTGTGAACAGTGACCATTGATGGGATTTCACGTCAGGGAGGCATAATTTCTGTGCAGTCATTCCTTCCGCACAGCGCCATTTACAATTTCCCTAGAGAGCTTGGTGCTAACTGTTGGTAATTTTCACTCATTCCCTAGGGTTCTTTCAAGGTCTCAAGAACGGCCTGACGGCATTGACCCTGATCGTGGGCATGCCGTTACTGAGGCTGACCAAAGTACATGACACCGTCATTGCCTTCGTAGCATTGATATTCCGTAGCGGGGCATTTATCATGATAGCCTTTGCTCGTGAACGCCTGACAGTTTTCCTAAGTAAGTGAACACAACCATTTCCAACTGAAGTTTGAATTGAGGTTATTTTGTAAAATTAATGACGCTCTTTCTCGGTTTTAAATGCCAAAGATTTCTTTAGGAATAAGCATTTTACATGTTCCAATCTTATGAAGGCTATTTGGAAATATTTGAGCAAGCATTAATGTATAGTGTCTTCTCTTGTAAACACTCGACTTTGCCAGGCTATTCCACAAAAACTGAAAAAAAAAGACATTTGTCGTAAAGTTTCAGAGTGTTCCAAGTACTTTGTAAAGTCTCCTGTGCTGTCTGCCTTCACAATTCTGGAATCAGTTTGACTTGTTTTAATGTCATGATTCTTTCAACACCGACAGCAGGGGTCTGGGACTTGACCCCCCCCCACTTTTTCAACTTTGTGGTAATGCTCTCCACACACTTTTGGCAGGTCCTTTAATGGATGATGCCAGAGGGTCTCACAATGCCCCCTCCTCCTACGTTGAAAATCATTCTGATACCGTTGTCTGTCAATCTCATATTCCCTGCTTATAAATGACATTTTTTTTCTCTTTTTTGCACTTGTGGTTTGTCTGGGTTTAGTGCCCATTCTCTACAGCCCGTCTGGCATACCAGCTGCAGTCACAAGAGCTCTCCTCTCCAAAAATGTCCAAGTTACTGAGCAAGGTAAATTTGTACGAGGGGAATATAGCTTTTTATAAATGTTATGTGAGTTCCTTCTGGTAATAAAGCCAATGGTTCCTTGAAAGTGTAGAGGAACTCCAGGTCATGCCTAGCGTATCTAGGTCTTTGGTACAGGGGTGTAAAATTGATGGTTTTTTTTTTTTTTTTTTTCAAAAAAATGACTGTCCCAATTTTTTTTTCTGTGAACGAATCCTCACCTCTCCAGAAAGGTGTTAGTTCTGTTCCTACAGTGCTGGCACTTTCAATTCCAAAAAGAAAAATAGAAACCCCAAATAAAATTGGCAATGTGCTAGGGGCCAGGGAGGGACATGCCCCCTCCCCCATTTGGATATAACTCTGCACTTAAAAGAACCGTGTTACAAGATGATTAGGAAATGTTCAGATGATAAAAGGAAAAACCATTTGAAATCAGGCAGGGACCAAAAGAAGGGTACATGTCTAGAGATTTAGCATGGTATCTGAGCCCCCTTGTACTCTTACACCCAATGGTACCCTAACTACCTGCCCAGCACGGCCGGCTAGCTTCTTTGCCACTCCTTTGGTGTTGTAATAGCCTGGATGAAGAATTTCGCAGCCGGTGAGAGATTCCTGCTTTCCCCTCCAGGTGGGCTGTTCTCCCTGACGGGAGCCCTGGAAACCCTGACAACGTTTCTCTCCTCGGCCATTTTCAACGCCCTCTATCCTGCCTCCAAGAACATCATCGGGGGAGGCTTTGTCTTCATTGTGATGGCTGTCTTACTCATCATACCCATGATGCTTATGATGTAAGTTGCCCGACGTGGTGCTGACCAATCCGCTCCGAGCGGAACAAATGAGGGCGTTTTTTTTTTAAACTCACCACGTAGGCGTGCCATTAGGCACGCAAGTGGAACGAAAGAGGTCCACATAATGCAGGTTGTGCCTTGTGTGGACCAAGCTGGGTCCACATAAGCTTTCCCCTTTCCGAAAAACAGCTCTAGAGACATTTTAGGGTTAGAATTATTTGTAGCAAAAGGCAGAAAAGTCAGGAAACCGTTAACAGAAATTTAGTTTGGAAGTTTTCGCAGGACAAGAAGAATTGTATTTTCACAGATTTTCCAAAAACAAAGGAGTGTCCTTACTCATGTTAACACAGGTAACTTGCTCAAATGCAGCCCTACAGTCGTACAAGTATGCTTCTGCTGCATATTGGTGCCAGATGACAAAATGCCCTGTGTCATTCTTACATGGATTCGTCAGTATACTTGAGATTATGTACTAGGTTGCTGCTTTTTCAATTTTTCCATTGGATTCGTGTAAATTTGAAACTTTTAGGAAAGGTTCAGTCCAGGCATGACACTTTGCATGTCAAGTAAGAGCTGACCACCTGTATGAGCAACTGTGACATGTACCATACCAAGCATGACACTTTCTCTCACCACACCTTCCTGAGTTGACCATCAGACTGACTGATTGAAGTTGTGGTAGACACTTTCTCAAGGCTGTTCGTAAGTGATGGAATTGATAGTTACAAAAGAGTGTTACAGCTTATTTGTAGAGCTTGTGTCTTGACTTCCGAACTCCTTTCCTCTTTACTCATGCTAAAGGTGGGTCCGCGATCTTCAAAAGGGAAGCACCTACGACCGAGCAAGGCCTCCAGCAAGAGAAGGTAACGAATCTTCGATTTATGGAGACACCTAACCCACCTCAATCACATCCATCGATCACTGCTGAAATCGTCACTCACAGTGTGAGTTTCCTACCAGGCAAAATGACATTAACTCTATATTTATATGCAATAAACCAGCAGAATTAAGAAACACATCATTGGGAACTATTACCTGTTCACAAAATCTCATTCTGTCAGATCCTTCACAATCCCCTGGGAGATTTTTGAAGGACAGTTGGAGGGTGGAAAAAATGTGGAGCCGAGCCAGGGGAAAGTTCAAAGGATGTGTCTCTGGGTTCCTGCTTGATGGATAATGAGGGGTAAAAACATCCAAGGGCCAATTCATGGAGCTGCAAAGCAGAGAAATTCATAGAAAATAATTGCCTAGGAAATATGTTTCTCAGAAATACACGGTAGGACTGTGTCTTTTAATTTCTACCTTGAACTGAGACAGTGTTTGCCTGTGGGCCAAGCTACATCAAACACAACGTGGCCTATTACAAGCGTGGAATACTGCATGTATATGTACTGTGCGCTGTGTAAAGTACACTGTACATGTAAGCTTTCTGGCAATGGCGTCATCCACTCAGCCTGGGAGCGTGAAGTGCCAAAAGGGGATTTTTTTGTGGGCAAGGAAACACAGGATCTTTTTAATGGTGAAAACATTGAATTTATGATGTTTTTGAAATGGTTACATATTTATTGTCATTTGGAATACTTCACGTGAACTAAATACTTTCAGTTTCTGGTACCCTTTAAATTTGAAACGGCATTGCGTGGATAATCTCAATTATGTGAGGCAACAACTTTTTTGCTTTGTGGAATGGGATCTACCACAGCAGTCTCAATGCTATGTGTAAGCTCTTTCATACCGTGTAACACATGAGATCAATGGAGAGACCTGCACAAGACCCTCCTTCAGTTTCCACCTGCAACAGGATCCTGAAATAGTTGGAACCAGTCAATGTTGCAGAAGGGAATAAGACCAGTGCTTGTTACCAATTGACTGAGGTAAACTGCACAGGTTCAGCTGAAGTTGCTTTCTCTGAAACAAAGGCATTAAATTCTGAAACTATACAATTAATTAACCTGTTTGACTTCTGAAATAAGCACCAGTTTCATCAAGTTAAGAGCTGGGAAGAAATTTGAAATACGGAACCCAAACAGTTCTGTAATAATTTAGGATCTTAAGCTTTGCCTTGCACAGCTGTGGTACCAAAAACTGCAATTTCTGACACTTATTTGGGAAGAAAAATAAATTATACTTCCGGGTTGCCTTTTTTGGGTCACTTAATGTGACACTTACATGAACTTTTTAGCTGTCTTTCTTTGAGCAAAAGTTTGCTAAGCAATATATTTTCTGCTATTCTCTTTTGTGAAATTGATTCAGAGGAGATAATTTGCATATTGAATACTTACCAATGGGAAAAAACTGTAAACTTACATTGAAGCTTGTAGTTTTTACATTGTAATTTTCTTTAAATTTTGAATTCAATCTTCTTGCACTAAAAGAACAATGGTCAGAGAAGGCACCAGCAGAAGAAAATACGGGAGATGTATGATGAGAGAAAAAGGAAACCTCTGAAAGGAAATGATAAAATATTGATGAAACCCCCCCCCAAAAAAATTATCTAGCGTCTCTGATGGTATGGGTCATGTAATCTGTCATGCATACTATTCACAGTTAAAATGTTTCTGGTAATATTTTGGGCAGTGGGACACAAACCACAACCACGCACATCTGTGACCCGCTATTCCAAAACCAAACTGAAGAACTCGAAGCTATTGCCAGACAAACGAAACCAATATAACCGATGCAAATTCCACAGCTTTCAGTTCCCATGACTATCCAAGCTTCCTGCAGACAAAATGTTTACTCTAGGTATCACAGTAAATTATGAAAAGTGAGAGTTGGGGAGAGGTATAGACAAACATCATACCTGCCGATTTCAGTCTGATTCTGAAATGGTTAATATGAGGTGCCCTTTATGACTTTATTTGGACCAAAAAACCAAAAAAGAAGGAAAATAATATATATTTAGTGAAACTAATATGTATAGTACGAAAGTGAAATCTAAAATAAAACAAATATATAAAGGATGAAATATATATATAGGATGTCATGAAACTCTTAAAGTACCAAACTAATCTATATATACGACCAAAGTACCTTTGCCCTTTAAATGTACTTTTGTCCCATATATTGATTGGTCTCATATTTGATGTATTACTCATCCTATGTATATTTCTTTCGTCTTTTATATATTTGTTTCGTTTTACATTTATTTCACTTTTGTCCTATATATATTAGTTCTATCATATTATTTTATTTTCGTTTGCTTTTTTGTTTTTTGGTACTAAAGTCATAAAGGGTGTCTCATACGATTAGTCACATCTGCAAAATCAAGCCCTATCATTTATTTCAATATAACAAATGACGTTTTTTCCGTTTTCTTGGCTCTTTTCCTACAGCTAGATTTGGCCATTTAGAACTGCAAAGTGCAACTGTTGAATCATCCAGTTTGTAGTCTTGCTTTCCATATTTTCAATTGTTTGCCCTTTTTAGCCAGCTACAAAAACCATTTTACAGATCAAGTTAAGGTTCCATTAGCCTATTTGAAGTATGAGGGACACAACAGGAAGGTGCTATTTAAAGTGGGTACATTTTGAGCAAACAAAAGAATTTGCGCAAACCAAACAGCGTCCTCCCATTGAGTCTGCCAAACCTCAAAACAGGCTAAATCCCCAGATGTTGTGGTTTCAAAAATGGAATGTAACCATCCATTGGCAATTCAAAGGTATGTTTTTCTGGGGAATGTGGTTTCTCATTGGCCGCAGTGCTCTCTGTTACTAGTAATTAACTTGAAACGACCATACCTCATGCATTCATCATGATCAAAAGTCCAACTCTCACTGGTTTACTGCTTTTGCTGCTTACCAAGTGCACAATCAAGGACCTGCGCAAACTCAAATATACTGGTATTTCTTTGTACCTGTTCCCAGGAACAGTTCAGTTGGACTGCCACCGGAGTGAATCATCACTACAGACGCGTACATGTATACGTGTATTTAAATTAGGTTGTGTGGGTCCTGCTTCCTTTGCCTTGCTATTGAATACGTATGAGGTATGGGAAAACAAGTGTAGCAGTATTTGACTTGGGTGGTAGATTTTAGGCCCCCCCCCCAAATATTACAAGTTGAAAACTACTTCCAGTACCACAGGGAGCTCAACTTTAATATCCACCCTCCAACATTTTATCTTACTGTTACTTTCAGACTAATGTGTCAAGTGTTTCGAAAAGAGGTAAAGGATTTAAATGCCATCTGAGTCATCTACAAAAGTAATTGTATCTATTGTTATGCAGGTGAATTCAATTAAGAAAAAAGTTCAGATTTATTAATTTCTATCAGTGTTGAACTTTTCACCTTGCTGAAAAGTAAATTGTTAAATATCAATCATTGGGATATTTGATTATGTGTAACTTGCACATCTAGTCAGTAAGCCACAAAAAACTATTTTGAGAATATATTCCCACAGGTTTCAGTTTATTTCATCATTTTTAAACTTTGAAATACATGTATGGAATTTGTGTAACGGCTTTTTAAAAAAAGTGATTTGATATGAGCAATTGAAACTAAACACCAGTGCAAATTAATTGTAAACTGTTATGCATTCCCCCACTGCCATGAGGCCTATCTACACTTCATAAGAATTCAAAGTGAATTTGACATAAAAATGCTACCAGTAACATGCACAGGAGGTTGTACAGCGTTCGACTTGTACAAGTGCTCAGTCAAGATTTTCTGTGACGGCACAGAGCGATCAAATTTTGGGTTTTCATTTGCGATGAGTGCGAATAAGCCCTCAGGTGCAGGGATGTGATGTTGAATGTCAGAAGGGGTGTGCTGACACAACTTTGTCACATTGTGCACATGTATAGCCGTTCTAAGGTCACATTTTATGTGTCACCTTATGCTTTAAAAGCTTTCATTTGTTGGAATTATTTGAATGGACATCAGAAACCGTAATCAAACCATTAAAAGAAATCGTGTCATTTGGAGAGTGTGGTTTGTATTCAGTTTCTTGAGCAAGGCTTTTACTCTCACCAGAGTAGTTGTAAAAAGTACCTTAAGCCTGGCTATTTGGACAGGACATCCGTCAGTAGACTACAAAAGAAGACTGCAGACACACTGTGATACATGGGCAAGCTGAAAGTGTGATAAATTTCCATTCTGTCATCTCTAAACAGAGCTGTCTCAGCTGCTCTTTGACAGGAAATACTAATCAAACCAAAGCATGTATAGAAGATTTTCAGTCGCGTGATTTTGGACAGTCAGCATCCAATTTACACAGATGTATGTGGAAATACACGCGCCTTCAAAGTCCCTCGACATTCTGGCGTACATGAAATTGCCAGTAGAAATACCCAGATTCGAAAATACTAGCGCCTCCACGGACAAGGTACGCTTCCCAAAATGCCTTTGCTCATCATGTTACCTCACGTGAAAAACCTCTATACAACTACATGAGTGGTGGGCATGCTGAACTACAAAGGGCACAGACCACAAAGACTGCAGCATAAACAGTGCATCGACTTCTCACCAACAACCTTGTGATCGGTTTAAAAACTGTACAACTGCTTCACTAAAATAATGCAGAGCCCTCCTTAAAGTCTAAATTCCACACAGAGTTTGCCAGATTTCTGTTGTCCAAAATAAACATCCCCTTTGAGATTCCTCTTTAAGACACACCCATCAGTGTTCAGACGTGACTCTCTTGGAGGGGAGAATTTTCAGTTGACCTAACTGAATCTTGTGGGTGTCTATAATGTCTCTCTTTCTGTAGCACCTCATGTAGAACAGTAGCCTCTGCTCCAAGAATTCGGCAGCGTCCAATGTCAAGACCAACGTGTGGTGCTTCAACATGCTGTATACATTAATACCTTCAAGGAATGAAAGTTACAGAATTTTAGCCATAAAACAAACAAACAAACAAACAAGAGGAACGACTGACACAGCAAATGCATTGGTATTATAAAATATTAGTTACACCAAGTACTCCGAAGTCATTCCCTCAATTTTTGAAACCTCATTTTAAATAAAAATGGGGATTGAATGAAAAAATCTGTAAATAATTCCACAACAGAATTTCACAGCTCTATGATCTTCAGTTCAGTAAATAAAAAACTGATGCAAGGTTTGTCCCTAAGCACAAACCATCACAGGTGCAAAATTTCAGGCTAAAAATCTGGTGGCTAATTTGTAAGGACAGAAAAAGACCTGTTGGTAGAAGCACTCTTACCCTCTGTGGATAACACATTGTAGGTTTTGATCCCACTCACTGCTTGCAGGAAATTCTCTGGCATTTCAGGGACAGGTTTGCTAAAAAAAAGAGTTGAAACGGACATACATGTTAGTGTACCATTTACAGCGGGTATTTGGTTGTATGACATAACTAGCTTGCACGTTGAATGGTATTTCAAGATAAATGGAAACTGCGGATTTCCTGTTTTTCTTTGATGAAAGTTCACCCTACCAAAAGTTGGTAATTATACAAGAACAATCAGAAGCAAATATTAACCACTCCCTGCTGGAGATTCTGGATCCGGACAAGTATGCTTTATATGCGTGGCCGGGGTCTCCGAACTTGGACAAAGGGAACAGGGCCTTGTAACAAAAGACCGTACTCGGAACAAAAGACCAGGCTGCAGGGAATTACCAACATATTTTCACTCTCAAAAGTGGAGATAATCCAGCAGGTTTGGGGCATTTAGAGCGAGCGGATTACCACCAGGGACAAAAGCACTCCTCCACCGCAGTGATGAGCCACACAGCACCACTACATGCTAATTTGGCCCCTATAGAAAAGATGTCAGCAGCACACTGAGCCAGGTTTGTGAACAAAAGAAAGTTATATAACACCACACAATCTGGGCTCTTTTTACAAGGCTGCAGGCCTGGCTGAAATACTCAGGCGTCAATAAATTTTGTCTGTCAGGCTAGAGTGGACACCAGACAATCCTTCACGTGTTTGTAAGTGTCCAGTAAATGAAGATAAAAATTTTTAAGAATTTTGAAAACAAAAAAATGATAAATATCCCGGCCCAGCATCCTCAGCATTGATAACTGCCCCGGCAGGAAATGGTTAAAAGCAAATGTGAACCATACAGTCTCTGAAGGTGCACAAACATCTCACAGACAAACAAAAAGGAAACTGAACCAAACTTGAGAGTTTGAATAGATGCCACAAGGCTTTTCAAAACCTGTGACTTGAAAACAAAGCACAGTAAAAGACGAGGCACTGGAGGGAAGAGTGACCAAGCCAGAAGAAAGCCATGAGCCTCAGCCTAATCCCCAGTCAAAAATTGTATGAGACTATATTCTGTGGTGTCTGAAGGGAGGATGCAATGAGATGTTAAGCAACTCAGCTACTCAGTCTACTCAACTCAGTCAAGCCATATCAATCACAGCCTGCATTGAGTACACTAAGGAATGACCGAGTCCCAACTAGTCAAACTCAAATTGTTTGCAGTGGTAATTCCAAAAGACACTGAGCTACTGCATGACACAACAGACCTTAACCACTTGCCTCGGGGGTTTCCGAAACCGGACACCTTGGGTTTGTATGCATAGCAGGGGTGCCCGAACTCGGACAAAAGAGCTGGGCCTTGTAACAAAAGACCATACTCGGAACAAAAGACCAAGCTGCTGGGATTTGCCATTATTTTTTATTTGGCATTAGCGGAGGTAATCCGTCATTGTTTTGAAACAGTATACAACTGTTTGTGGCAATCAGTGCCAGCGGATTATCAGCGGGGACAAAAGTACTCCAGCGATGCGCGATACAGTACCGCTGCATGCTAAAATGGCTGCATTTGACAAGACGCCACCTGGCATTCAGCAACGCACTGCGCCAATTTTGGGGACTAAGGAAATTACGCAACACCGCACAATCTGGGCTCTCTTTACTAGGCAGCAGGGCTGGCTGAAATACTCGGACGTCAATGGAGGTTGCCTCAGGTTAGGGTAGCAACCAGACAGTCATTCATGTGAGTTTAAACGTCCAGTAAATGAAGTTATGACTTTTGAAGAATTTTGAAAATGGAAAATCTTGAAAATCTCCCGGGAACACCATCCCGCACATGCAAATTCCACCCGGCAGAAAGTTGTGGTAACATACATGTGTGCCTTCCTACGGGGCTCAATGGATCACGTCCCAAGTCACTGTCACAGGAAAGTGCACACGTAAACAAAGCTTGATGTCATCAAGTTATAGGTCTATTATGTGGCTAAAATACTCACTTGTCTACAAACAGTACAGATCCTCCCCAGTGCCTCTTTAAACCAACATCTTCAAGAAACTAGGGGTACAAAATAAACAGGCAGTAATGTATCAGAGCTTAAATATCATACCAAAAATCACTTGCCACAATGTGAAGTAACAATGCCATTCTTGGTTGTTAAATTTGAGCCCTCTGCACAAATGGTATTCCAAACCCTTAAGAAAGTTTCAGTTCTGCTGTCCACAAAACCACAGCATGAATTTGTGTCTCAAGCCAGTATTTTCTATTCCAGAATTTTGTTGAAATTTCTGCAAAAATGGATGCCCCTGTGCCCGACCTCACTGTAATTTTGGCATTTTCCCTCCCAGATAGTGTGGTTAGTTCACAGAACCTATACTACAAGGGTTTCATCAGTGATGACTGAAAAGGGGCAGAGGTATGTACACGAAGGGATGGAGACACAGTAGCTGCACATGGTTTTCCAATGGCCCACAAACACGCTCGTTTACATAGTATACCTAGTGTGGACATTCCTTTCTTCTCATGCAATTAAGAAAACTCAGTAAAATTAGTCATTTTCTTTAATTGAACTGCGACCACTATTTGAAGCTGGAGTTTGGTAGATGATTTTTCTGAACTGTTCCTCTTCTTTTTGTTCTGGATTATTCTTAACCTAAATGTCTCTAAACCTGATTTTCAGATTGGGGAAAACCTTGTGTGGACTACAGTAAGTCCACATAAGGTTCACATTACCCGCATTATGTGGAACTCTTTTGTTCGCATGTCTACACTTGGTATGTAAGGTTGGCACACCCACACACCCAAGTGTGTAAACGCCTTCAGTCGTGGACTCCCTATTGTTCCTCTTTTGTTCATACTTTTTCGGAAGACCTCCCATATGTTTTGTACACGTTTTCCAACCGTGGACTCTTCGGCAACCGTGGACCCTATTGTCCCCTATTGTTATAGGTCTACGATTGAAGGTGTTTACACACTCGCACAAACACATCCATTCACACCTGTGGTTCCGCGGATGGCAACTCCAATGAGTCTACTATGTGCAGGTTGTCTTGGGCCAGCTTGACTGTCAGGGACACCCTCAGGCCCTGGGCTCGGATACTGACGGGCAGCTCATACCAGAAGCTGCGGGGACCACGAGGCCCTTTGGCCCGGCCACCTGAAATGATAAGGAATGGACAATTATAAAGTCAGACACCAGAGAGATACCCAGTGGACTTTTTCTAAGCCCACTTTTGCTACGTAAATGCATGGCTTACAACTTCAGCGACTTGGACAGGAAGATTTTTCAATTCAATGTGGACACCCCCTTTGGATGTATTTGGAGAGCAAATCCTGCTTTATCAACCACGGACATCAATCATTTTTCAAAAGTTGGGATGGGGGCCGTAACCTTGATTAGAACCAATGCAAGTACAAAGTCCTAACAGCATGGGGTATGGGGCTTACTTAAGGGCACCAGGTAATTTGGGATTCTAGATGTTTGTGGTGTGATCTGAAGTGATTTCTGACCACTTAAACTAATTTTTTTTAGCAAATGCTTTGCAAGATTATTTAATTTTTTTTTTTAAGTTATTTTTATCTGAAATATGAATCAAATGTAGGCCTACTGCCCCTTCATTTTTATTTAGGGTGGAGGGGGCAAATGATATGATATGACTGCGTCAGCCTCGTCCCCACTGATTAGCACTCATGGTGGTAAACAGCCTCATAGAAGAAAAAATGGATGTTATTTGTAGATAGTGCTGAATGTTATCTATATTACACTTTTCCACTGGCTATTATACCGAAACTTAAATACATTAAAACATATACATAAAACCAATTGACTCGGCACAACAACAAACAGATGACGGCTAGAAAAAGAATATGCTTCAAAAGCCAGTGAATGGCAAGAGGGAACAGGAGCCCAGCACCTCTACAGAGCCATCCTACCACATGACAACCCCCCCAACACACTAAGTGACATCATGAGGTAACAGTTTCAGCAGAAATATTTCTGTGAAAAAAATGGGTTTTATTTTGTTCAGACTTCCCAAAGAAAGTGTAGCACACCACATAATGATGAACAGGTAAACTAAGAATTAAATTGGTCCACTTGTGGATATTCTGGAATGGAAAAAATGAGCAGTTTGGAAAATAAAGATCCTCGAGTGTGCATATCTCTGCTCTCCACTTACCTCCACGCCAGATGGGTGATCGGATGCTGCCGTGCCTTGCTCGTCCCGTTCCTTTCTGTCGCCATGGTTTCCGTCCTCCACCTCGCACTTCCGCCCTGCTCTTGGTCTTGGCTAAACTCTGTCAGGGAGCAAATGCACTTTTGCTTTTTATTTTGCAAGGTGTGAATTTATTTAAAAATCACCGCAATTTGGTTTAGGTTTATCTCTTTTGATCAAACAGTTGTGGGATCAAATCATGAGGTATATATCTATTGATTTTAGGTTGAGTAGCAATATTCTGAACAGAATGAATGTAAACTAGAGATATTCAGTACTGAGATCCTTTCATCTTTAGAAAGCAGGGTCAAAGATATTGTACTAAAAATTTCTAAGGGTTAAGGTTGTAAAGTGCAGCCACTTACAATTCTTTTGTAGTCCCTTTGCCACAGAACATTTTGATACAGAATGTCAATTCTGAAACAAAACACACAAGGGATTTGGTATATTGACTTCCAAAGTGGATACATGTCAATCATTCATGCACACTCCATGCCGTGCACATGTAAACAAGCATGCTGGAGTGTTCCTTGTGTGGACTTGAGAACAAAGGTGTCCACACAATGCAGGGAGTAAAGACACTGCATGGACTTTCCTGGGTCCACACAAAGCAGGGAGTGGAGACACTGTGTGGACTTTCCCAGGTCCACACAATGCAGGGAGTGAAGGCACTATGTGGACTTTCCCCGGTCCAACAATGCAGGGAGCGAAGGCACTGTTTGGACTTTCCCGGGTCCACACAATGCAGGGAGCGAAGGCATTGTGTGGACTTTCCCAGGTCTACAGTGTTCCCCCTTTCTCTAAAAAAGCTGTTTGTGATTTGGGTTATTTGTAGCAAGAGGACGGGGAAAGTTACAGATACCATCAACAAAAACCAAGCTTAAACAGTGTTCATACTTCAGGAAAAAATGAGAATTTTCACCACACTTTCTCAACTGCACTGTAAATGAGAATTTATAAGGAATGTCCACTCTTCACAAAGAGTGTCAACACCAAGGTACGTTAGGTTCATCACTTGATCACACATGGTGCCTGTATAGCTTTCTTCAAGCCTACCTTGGCATTGTGGCAAAGACCTCTGGATGCAGGTCCACCATGCCCAGTTTGATGTTCTCCAAGGTGCTGATTGTCTCCAACCAGGCCTGGGGCTTCTCCAGAAACGCGGGGGCATCCACGGACCTCCCCGTCACCAGAGGCAGATTCTGCCATCTGTCTGGATTTTCAAACTCTGTCAAATGACATGCATGTAAGCGCTCAGTGATGGATCACTGAACATGTGACTACACATAAAAAGCAGCAGACAGGCAGAAACGATTTAATGATTTCTGGCACTCTTTGAAAGTTTCCATACAAAAGAAAACTATCAAACCAGTCAATCGAAACACACCCATAAAATATTCTGGATATTGGTACTTTAAAAACACATCCACTCTCTTTTTCCTCCCAGTAAGTTGTTGTGGGGAGAGAATAAACTTCATCTATAGCATCTGTCCCAACCACAGTTGGGCCTGTCACAACTCTAGTTGGGCCAATGGCTGGGGTTTAACAAGAGGATTAAGCAGATGCTAGCCATATTTATTAAGTTCATCGGTGATCAGAGTCCCTTCTGGTTACCAATATACCAGAGCGTGAAAAAATATGCATTTTCATGGACTTCCAATATCCACAGCATTTATACTCTTATCTCCAAGCTCCAACTTGAAAGCTACACATTCTAAACTTACATGATGATGACGCGTGTATTTTGCAGGCATCGGGTTTCACTTTATATTTTTCAAATGCCAGTATGGAAGCAATTTCAATACAACCGCTCAATTTGCCCTTCATGACGAAGTGAGCATGTGGCCAAGTGGTTACAGTGTGCAGTTCCACACTTGAAAACTCCAGTTGAAACCCCCGCTGGAGGCATTTCTGTGTATTTTGCTACATCAAAAAGTCACAAGATGACCCTTTTATTGTTTTTTTAAGTATTCATTTCTTTTTTTGTGATTTACAGCTGAGTAGATTTATTAAAAAAAAAAATCAGGAGTTGCACAAAGCCCGAGTTTCATCTAGTGAATATGAACTAGTGATCTCAAGGTAAGCATGGAAACAGACAAAGAGCTGCCGCAGTCAAATTGTGAAATATCCAGAAGAGCCTCACTCCACGAGTTCCATTGCTATGAGAGTACAACAGCAAAGGCATATCACTCTGGAAGGTGAACCAGTCAAACATGCACTGTCTACAGTATAATGTTGATGTCTTAACTTCTTTTCCGTCATACCATTCTCACCTGTGCTGACTACATGTATGAAGTTCTCACCCTTGGATGTTCCTTGGTCTGACTGCTGTAGGCATGCTGCTGTTGTGAAAAGACTCTGTTAACAAAATGATATCATCACTAATTACTGCATTTATCTGCCGTTCTTCTTGGTTTTCCAGGAAGACTTCCAAGATTTTTCAGACCCTTAGCCCTAACTCCCCACCTTGCATTGTAATTACCATTATTTTTGGAATATAAGCCGCCCACTGTATAAGCCGCAGCACGCAGAAATCGGCAAATTAAGATTTGAAGTCGGCGTATAAGCCGCACTGGTGTGTAAGCCGCATCGCAGTGCTGACAATCCAACCACGAAGATCAACATGCTGCATGCTGAAGTGCCAATACAGCATATACATGTACTGTGCGTCAACTACACATGCAATCCTCGTAAAAGCATAAGGCAAAATGCAAACCAGTGTCACCATAAAAAGTGAATTTTAAGACCTCAAACTTAACAGATTTTTTGCGGGGTGGATGGTGGTCCTCCATGGGCCATGCAGCAGCTCTTGCTTTTTTCTAGCGGCCAGCAAAAGTTACGCGGTTGGGGATGTACAATAAAATCTTGGTAACTTGAAGTCGAAAATCTTGGTAACTTGAAGTCGAAAGATCGTTTTATCTCGTAGGTCGACTAAAAAAAACTGCCAAATTGCTTCAAAAATGAAAAATCCACCGCAAGACCTTGGTTCGAGTCATCACATTGGAACCGCTTGTGTTGCATGCATGCATGCCGCACATGTCCCCACACGCACCCTGTTTTCAGGCTAGCCTGATTGCTACTGCAGACCCATTCACAGACAATCCAATCACTGACTCTTTCTGATAACCATGTGACCACAGAATTTGTCGTCATCAGAAAACCCAAGTTAAAAAAATGCATGTATAGCCATTGTTTGGCATGCACAAGGGTTTATCCACTAAAAACACAGTGCGAGGGTTCCTCTCATTTCTGTTTTCTCGGAATGATGCAATTTATATTCAGCATTCGCATCTTGGCATGAACAGAAAAAAGCCCTTTTTAGCTTGTTATAATTGAGCTCTGAAGACAAATGAAACTGCGTTCGATTTGGATGCTTCCATATTTATTTGAACAGATAACATCAGACATGTCAGAAAAAACATGTTTTCCTTAGAGGTGTAATGTTTGTGCTGTGTCCTCGCTTTATCATTTTCTTATGGTTTGTGCATTGTCCTTCATCCATACCATGGCATGCCATGCCGATGCCATCCAATGGCCAGAGAGCGACTTAACTCACCTTTCGGGAGTTTCGTATTCTGGAGGGCTCAGAGAAATTTCGAAAGGCTGAACAGCTGCACAGACGTGAAACTCTTGCAAATCGGGATAACATGGTTGTAACCATAACATGACCGTTCAAAGTCAATTTCTTCCGACAATTTTCGCAGGGTTACAACCCAGCTCAAGCGTGCGTACCGTACACCTGCATGTTACGACAAAAATTACATAGTACATGCTGACTTGAGGGCGCTGTCCATGGTTATTGCCAGAAGACTTGCACAAGAGCTTGGAACATTATGCCACTTAACTTCTTGCATGCTGTAACGATTTAGGGAAGACTTGAGGAAGTCTAATTATTGTTGGCGCACATTCCAAAATGGCGAGAAGCGACACTCTCGTTTCTGCGAAATTGTGGTCGCAAAATCTCGTTTAAAAATGCTTTAGATTGGACAGGAAAAACCACAACATTGCCAAAGTGTTTCGGTACTTGTAAATACTTCTTGATCGTCGAACATGAATTCCAATGAGGCATTATTCTCGCTCGAGCTGGCAGTGGAATCTCTGCGCGTAAACTCGCCGACTGTCGTGTGTCGTCTGCCGACCGTTGCATTTCGTCTGCTCGATTTTCCTACCCTGCTCCTTCACCATGTGGATCCAGGAGGGGCGCAGGACGTCAAAGAAAAGATCCTCCTGGACAGCTTTGGAGATGTTCCCAGCCAGCTGCAAGAACTCAAAGATCACAGAGGCAATTTTTCCATCAACAAATGTAAATCGTCGCTGTTCAAGATGAACCCAGAAATGTTACTGTCCTACTTAAGAAACACACCTCTGTACGTAATGCTCATTGATGTCTGGCCTGAGGTCCCTAAACTGGTTGCCAATTGTACAGTTTCACTGCAGCGTACAATGGAGCAGATATCGCTGGACATTGAACAGAATGGTTCGGACATTCCATCAGTACACGGCAATCGAGATAGCCACAAGTTGTACAATCTGATGGGAAGTGAAGTGGGATGGATAATGGTTCGATATCGCCTACTCAGCATGGGTGCCAGTCTAATACCACACATTCCTCAATCAGAGATTACAAAAAGAGGAGATAAAAGAGTTGACCTGGCTGTGACCCCAAGGAAGAACAAAGATAATGTCATAAATAACAAAGAAACAGCAAACAGAGAGACAGAAGTTGTTCTGGAGGACTTGGAAGTGCAAGGTCATCCAAAGAGCATTTCTGTTGCCATATCAACCGTAGATGATCTTGCCAGCAATCTCAAACTTGAATATACTGAGAAGAAACAGCAAGCAACTCAAACAGTTAAAACCTCAAGAGGAAGTGGTCGCCACAAGCATGCGTTGGATGGTTCAATACTAGTCACGAGGAATGATGACCTTATTGTGAACAATACCCATTGTCCACCCCCTTTGTTCTTCAACAATGCAAATGAAGATGTACCATTGTCCTCGGAGCAGTACTTTCAGAAAGAGTCAGTGAGCAGGATTTACCAAAGATTTCAGGATCCACCCTCGAATAAACTGGAACCCAAAATGAAAGCTGATTTGAGTGACGACTTGAGCACCATCTCAAATCAAACACTGTCGGAGGACATCATCCATCAAATCGAGACACACTACAAGTTCATCCCGGAGGAGCAGAGTGCCTCGCCAAGCTGGAGCGTGCGAAAGACCCACCGTACACTGAGGAGAGAAAAGTTGCAGGCAGAGAAAATGGAAAAGACTGAGGAGAGGGACACAGAACCAGCACATGCAGGCGGAGTTCAAGAACAAGATGTGTGTCAGAGGTGTCAATTGAAGCTTGACCCCAAACAGCACTCCCAGCTGCCAATTCTTGAGGCCTTGCTTCATGAGCTGAGCCTACTCCATGGGAAATCTCTTCAGAATAGGCCTGCCACACCATCAAGGTCACCTGTCCAAGAACCTAAAATGCAGACCATCACCAGTACTCGAATCACTAAAAAGCAACAGTTGGAGCCAACAAATGACAAACAAAACATCCGCCTAAACCCACCCAAAGTTGTACATCAAAGCAAACCCTACCGTCACAAGCACAGGGAGTGTGCCAAGCCCCCCCAGAGAATTCCCGCATCCAAAGCGTGGCTGAGGCAACAGCAGCCAGTCCAAATCAAGCGCCGGGCAAAGTTACACTTTGGCATGACGCACTCTCAGAAGTTAAGACTGCGGAAGAACAACCCCGAGCTCCTCAAGGAGATGGAGATGCGGGAGTTGAGGATACAAGCCTACCGGGAAGAGAAGGAGAAAGCAATGGTGATGAACCGGCATGCAAGAGACGAACAAGATTTCACTGATAGCGAACTCGACGTGCGTATCTCAACAGAAATTGCGCACCATTTTGATGAGGAAGATGAGCCAGGTCACATCAAGCAACCCCAGATGAAATGTCCATCTGATGTGAAGGCTGCTACTTTTAAGATAGCAGCAGTGGAACAGAAAAGAAGTAATGGTTGGTTTTGTTGATGGTTTCACGTTGAGCTTAGTTTCTTATGAATAAAAGATAAGTGCTGCCAACAGCTGATCAGTTTGAGTGACCTGAGATATATGCAAACTAAACAAGTCATAACATTGTGATCCAAGGAGAGGGATGCCTAGCCATTTGAAAAAGACTGTGTTTTAATAGGCTTATGGGTGTTGTTCAGTTAACTAGTTAATCAATCAGTGTATGGATGATGGATCATTCAGTTACATTTTCCTGTTGAATTAATAGGAAACCAATTTTTGAAGATGAGCTTCCTTTCCTGTGTGGGAGAAAAAACTTTAAAAAAATCTCAAACATTTCGTAAAGAAAACTTTTCCCCCCAAAGTGGGACAAACACAAAGATGGGCTTACTAAGCACTCACTAGAGGGCCTATGTGTATATTGTATTTTTCATTTTAAATTCCCAGGATTTTTCTTCCAGCCCTTTTGCTAACAATCTACAGTTGATACTGTACACATGTGTAACCATCAAAGATATTCAACAAATTGATTTAAATAGATTTGCATCTAAGACAAATGACTTGTCGATGTGGCCACATTATAATTGAATACTTGTATTTATAAGATTTGGGCAACCCTTACATTTACGTGTATGTTCATGACCCAGGTACTGTATTACATCTGCACAGGCTTATCTTTAACTGTTAAAAGTGGTCACAGTTTTACATTTTCTAACTAAGGCCTCCCTCAAATCACTCTTGAATCCTTCACTTGTGAAAAAGGAAGACTTCCTGAGACTGCACAGGTAATTTGGATTGATGCACATCCCTGGAGTTAAGACAAATGGGGTGAAATAACAGTGAAGAAGTCTCCTTAAAGGTCAGGATTCCATCTTTGCTGATATGTGATTGCTTTAGTTCCTTACGTTCACGTTCAAGCGCTTTTCTAATTACAGAACACCCTGACCGAAGAAACAGCAAGATTTCCTCGCCAGAGCAGCACCCTGTGTCTGCTCTTCACAAGCCAAAAGGAACCACGACTGTCCAGAGAGCTGCAGGTCTCCACCCAGAGGCCACGAAAGGAAATAACGAGGAGGCAGCTGGTGGTGGAATGGAGAGCGATGGAACAGACGACAGTGACAAGGGGTACAACGGGACCAGGAGGCCAGTGGAAAATCAAGGTAGGGGACAGAAAAATAGGTACATTTGTTGTTGTTTTAATTGATTTTTATTCCATTCATTGTGAGGCCCATATATGAAAGATGTATTGCATCCTCTGATGTGATTGTTGTAAATGGAAGGTCAAAAGTCATCAAAAGATAGGAATTTATCTTATCTATTTTATCATAAAATAACAGCCTCATTAATGATGCTTGATGAATTTGATGGCGTGTGCTGATAGGGTAAATTTTTGATAAGATCGGGAGAGCTTATTTAACCAGTGGAAATGAATGCCTGACCCTTGAATTAGCTTAAAGTGACAACTTTTAAGTTAGCTTTTTGCAAGGATATCGTCCAACAAATCTGAGGTTAACAAGATGGAATAGAATTTACATGCATACATGTAATAAAAAAAATTGGATGTGGGACAAAAAATTTACCCATATATTCCTGGGCATGAGATGATAGAGAGGCTTTCCTACATGTATCTTCACAGTTGTAATTATATTATCATCATTTAATTTCTGCAATTTCAAATAAATTCTGTGGATATGGTGACGTGTGAATTATCAAATGTGCAGGAGTGCCATTCAATTTGTTGTCTGCATTTGTTTGTTGATTTAGATGTAAGCAGCAGTGAAAAGAGTGCCCGGAGTATTGATGTCTATCTGCCGAGTGCCTCACTGCACGAGTCTGACTCCGGGAGCAACAGTGACGATTCTACAGATACCGACTCCCAGGTTTCGTTGGCGTCAAGTTCTGCCAGACATCCCAAAGTAATCCAAATACCCGGCCGGCCTTCGGGAAAGGATGTCTCAGAGGGAGGTGCTGATCAAGCTGATGACGAAACAAACATGCAGTATTCCGATGACTTTGTGGACACCGACAATCTCTCTTCAACCGCGGAGCAAGAACTTGCACCCCTTGCATCCAACTGCTCTGATTCCTATCACTCAGCTCAGTCGAGTCTGTCAGATGCATCCAGGAGCAGCAGCATGAGGACCACTAAGTCTCAGACCTCTCAGATTGCTGTGAAGACTCCAGAATCGTCTTCCCCGAGACCCAGTGAAAAACCAGCCAATTCCCAGACTAGGCACCTCAGCCTCCCTAAACCCAAACTCTCCAGCATATCGCCCGTGCCCGTCCGAAAGACCTCCAAGACGTCAACTATTTCCGCCAACACAGCGGTTGTGATCCCCGACCTCAGGAAAGAAACCGAGCGCTCTCAGACACCCCCAACCCCTAAACCAAGGCCTTCCCTCTTAAGGACCACCAGTTCCTTCTCAGAGACCTCCTTACTTCAGTCCACAGTTCCCTCATCAGAATTCAAGACAGAAGATTCTCTCAATGCCGGAAATCAAGAAGAATCTGCTTGCAGCTACTCTGACAGCAGTTACAGTGATCACAGTGACACCTTTTAGCCCAGGAGCTACATTATAACTCACATGAACAATCTTCATCATTAGCTCAAGGGTTTCTGTTTTATAGACCTTTCTCTTATTTTTCAACTTTGACTGCCATTTTTTATGGACGACCTAAGTTTGCAGAAAATTCATTCTTGGTTGGCAACAATTTCTGCCTCAAAATCCACATTTTGCATCATCAGTAGTACTTTGGGAGGCATTTCCATTTAGCATTAAATGCAAGTATTCACAATTCAATATTTTAATTTGCATAACATTTTATAAACACTTTGTAGAATTATTCCCTTGGCTTTGTCCCTACAGCAAGCCAGAACAGCACTTGTGACGCAGCCAAAGAAAGGTCTGCAGTACCCATCACACACCATGGATTACTCTTGGGGTTTAAAGGCACTTAGGTCATGTCAGGGTTGGTTGATTTAAATCACCCGATTAAAAACACTGATGTAAATCGCGATTTAAAAAGCCAAAATGTTGCCTTTTGTTGCTCCTTTTTTGTACTGATTTGTTATTTTTCATGATCTGGCATATTTTAAATGACAAAACCCCAGGCCCCCCCGTGAGCCCTTCAGTGCCTAGTATTCGTAAGATGTTAGACTGCGTATGTGTCACACACAATCAAGATTGGTAGGATTTTTGGTTCATTTCAAGCCACTTGTTTATATTTAAAATCAGCTTTATTCAATGCAAGAACTAAAGGTTTTATACTTGTGGTTCAGTTTACTTCATTTAAAGTACCCACCTTTAATTTAACATGATGAAGTATCAGTGGGCATCTACATTTTATCTTTACAATTTTTTTTTACTGGGATGAGAAGTGTGGGTCATTATGCAGTGAAACCAAAACCACTAACAAAATGTTCTTAAGTGAGTTTTAATCAAACTTGAGCCACTGTAGTAATCACAAAAGAGCTGGATCACATACAAACCTACTGTAAGGAGACTGCTTTTTGTATATATTAGAGCAAGGTTAAATACCGGTTTTTTAAACCAACATGGCACATAAAATAAGTATCTGTACATGTGGTTGATTGCATTTTTTCCTGGCACTGGTCGTTAAGTTTGAGTTCCTTGTCAACGAATTCCTGTGAACTCTTAGTTTTTCAGAAGTTGGAGTCCAGATTATAACCTAGTACTTTACCTTTGGCCCCTGTACCTCTGTGTAGCCCCTGCTACATAGCATGTATTTGACCTGGGCTTATCCTAATATATTTAACATTGTAACAAAAGAAATGAATGCAAGAAAATTCTCACACGTAATAGCTTTAGTTGCTTTCCTAAAGAGAGAGATAAACCAGGTTGTCTCCAATTTACCCCCCAAAAGCAAAAAGTTGGATCTTCCCTTGCCCGGATAAGAATGAACACGTTTGTGAATGAATTCATCTTTTAACCTGCCTGTTTTTTATATGATCTGTAAGAGCTATTTATTATGCTGAAAATTTTCAAATTTAATGTTGTTATTCTTTCCACATTAAAGCATGAACAGAAGAACCTCCAGAATTTGGAGTGTTATTTTTCCAGAGAGCTCCAAATGTTACCTGAAAAAAAATAGGTGTAGAAATGGTAGTACATACACGTTTTATGAGGTTAAATGGAAGCTTTCACAAATGGAACATTTTCAAAATGTAGTTTCCACCGTCCCATTGAGTACAGTACCATTTTAAATTAGCTTTTTTGGGGGTGGGAATTGTACTTGGGGAGAGAGTTCTCACATACGCACGTGTTCGCTTTGGTACGTATATAAAACTCACGAACGTAGGTGAAAAGTAATCGCATGAAAATTAATGGTTCCATAATCCCCAATGCTTCCTCTACTCAAAAGAATTATGTCATGTTTATTCATTCGTTTCAAAAGCAATTTGTCCTACGAATTTGTAGGTGGTGCGATTAAGTTGCATGTCTTGGGAAGACCAACACTGGACTGATAGTAAAAAAAATGTTTCCAAAAGGCAGTGTACACACTACATGAGTGTACCAAAAAGTTGTTTTAGAGACATCCTCGTCCACTCAAGGCGCGGCGAATCCGAGGGGGTAGGGGTCGGACCCCCCGCCGCTCAAAAAAGGAAAGAAACAGAGAGGAGAAAAAAGGTTCTTAAAAAATTAGCGGAATGATAAAAAAAAAAAACTAAGTGCACCAATGTCATCGTAATCATCATCATTCGGCTTGTCTGCACACAAAAAAGAGACATTAAAAAAAATCTCCGGCCTAACCCCAACCTGGAAAAATCCTGGATCCGCCCCTGATCCCCATTTCAAAACCAGGCGAGCTCATTCAGTTTGAAAGTATGAACCACTTGATGGAGTTGTTTCACTTCACGTGATTAAGTTCAAGGATTAGCGAATATAATGAATGACGAAACCTTGATCCTTCGGCTATTTGAAGAATTCCCGCCAATGTGTTGGACTGCAGTGTGCCCACTCGTTTGTATTGCGCCATTGGTTTTTGTACTGTGCTCTGTAAAACTATCACCATCGGTCTTAAGTTGGTGGAATTGTTAGCTTTGCAGACGTCGCTTAGGACATGATTCCTAGAAAGGCGAGCCCTTTGACAAGTTCTTGGTGCGGGTTGCCCGTTTTTTGCAATGTTGGAGAGTGACCAAAATCAAGTCCCAGAACATGATCTACGCATCTCGGACTTCATCTCTGTCGACGAGGCTCCGGACGGGATTTGCTCTGCTACTGTGGCTCCCTGTTGTGCGTTGTGAGGGTTAGACTAAGAGCTTTTTCTTCACCCCCATGGGCTTGCTCTGTGATAAATCTCATGGGGGGACAGAGAGACGAGACGATGATATTTTTGGCTTCAAGAGAGGTTTTGACTTGCTAAGATATTTTCTCGAAAAATGATCATCAGCATCAGGTCTTTACCATTATAACGGTAGTGTGAGCATTTTTGAGTGGTTTATCTTTTCTGTTTGTAGGAAACTTTGTAGGATATTTTAGGAAATAGTGAGTCATTATTTCGGGCAAGTAATATTGCATTTTACTACTTTGGACTCTCTGGGGATGAGTGTTGTGGTTTCACTTTAGTAATTCTTCAAAGATCTCAATCAATGCTCTTCAGTAGGAGAGGTTGTTAATTTCATGTTTATATTGAGCCCCTTTAAAATAATGGTTTGGGTTCCATATACGGACATCAATTAGCTTCCCTTGCAGTGGTTTTTAAGCCATCAGAAAGTAACGACATGCCCAAAAAAGGCAAATTTAGCAGTGAAAATATTGAAACATATGCTTAGAATTAGCACCAGAATTTTTCAGACTGGGCTCATATAGGGCTTGGGCATTGGGTGTCGAGTGATATGTCCAAATATGGAACTCTTACCTTGTGGGGTTTGTAAAGCCGTCCAGTTCTGGAAGTAGGCAACACTTTGGATCACCACACAAAGAAGTCAGTTTGTCTTTAAAAATATCATCAGCAAACAACTGCAATTCATTTTATTGGGCCAAATTTTGTTCCAAAACAGCATTGCAATGTGAAATCTAAGTCCTAAAACCTGTGTACCATTTTCATCTTCAGTACCCCTTCCTCAAGGTTGCCCTGAAAATATCACCACCAGTACTGATGCTGGGGAGGCATATGCCACTGTGGAGTGGTATCCCCCAGTCGCACAGAATGGAACTACCATGACAGCCCTTGCCTCAGCCACAGGCCACAAACCAGGAGACAGGTTTGGCATTGGCACTACACGCATTGTGTATGTACTGTACAATGAGACTCTTCAAGGGGCTGGCAACTGTACGTTCTTCATTCATGTTCAAGGTAATGATGACATACAAGATTTTTTTTGTTGTATGTAGTTTCCATGTGGCGTTGTCTTGCAGGATGAATGGTACACATGATTGACACAAAACACAGATGGCTCACGTGACCCAAGGATGACACATGACAGGTGGATGATGGTACATGCAGCCAGTGGGTGGCACATATGTTACCCGTGGATGTTACGCACAATATGTGGATGGCGCACTAACTCATGGACGGCATACGGGACTCATGGACAGCACACATGACCAGTGGATGGCATATATGACCCGTGGATGACACACCTGACCCATGGACAGCACACACAACCTGTGGACAGTACACGACTTATCGATGGCACACATAACCCATAGATGGCACACATAGCTCGTGAACAGCAAACATGACCCATGGATGGCACACATGACTCATGGATGGGACATGTGACTCGTGGACGGCACACATGACCTGTGGACGGCATACAGGACTCATGGACGGTACACATGACCTGTGGACAGAACAGATGACTCATGGACGGCACACATGACCCATGGACAGCACACGTCTCATAGATGGCACACATGACCAATTGGCAGCACACATGACCCATGGACGGCACACACAACTCATGGATGGCACACATAGCTCGTGAACAGCAAACGTGACCCATGGACAGCACACATGTCTCATAGATGGCACACATGACCAATTGGCAGCACACATGACCCATGGATGGCACACACAACTCATGGATGGCACGCATGACCCATGGAAAGCACACATGTTTCATAGATGGCACACATGACCAATTGGCAGCACACATGACCCATGGACAGCACACATGTCTCATAGATGGCACACATGACCAATTGGCAGCACACATGACCCATGGACAGCACACATGTCTCATAGATGGCACACATGACCAATTGGCAGCACACATGACCCATGGACGGCACACACGACTCATGGATGGCACACATGACCCATGGACAGCATACGTGACTCATGGACAGCACACGTGACCCATGGATGGCACACATGACCCATGGACAGCACACATGACTCATGGATGGCACATGTGACTCATGGATGGCACACATGACCTCTGGACGGCACACATGACCCATGGACGGCACACACAACTCATGGATGGCACGCATGACCAATTGGCAGCACACATGACCCATGGACAGCACACATGTCTCATAGATGGCACACATGACCAATTGGCAGCACACATGACCCATGGACGGCACACACAACTCATGGATGGCACGCATGACCCATGGACAGCACACATGTTTCATAGATGGCACACATGACCAATTGACAGCACACATAGCCCATGGACGGCACACATGTCTCATAGATGGCACACATGACCAATTGACAGCACACATAACCCATGGACGGCACACAGGACTCATGGATGGCACAAAGGATGGCACATATAACCCATGGATGACAAACATGACCCATGGACAGCACACACCTCATGGATGGGACACATCACCCATGGACGGCACACATGACTTATGGATGGGACATATGACCCATGGACAGCACACACGACTCATGGACAGCACACATGACCCATGGATGGCACACATGACCCATGGATTGCACATTTGACGCATGAACGGCACACGACTCGTGGAGTGGACACATGAAGGTTGCACTATCTCTAGCTATGACTGCTTTTGTTTTCCTGCCTACTTTTATATGTATTAAGAAAGTCGAGTTGATAGTGTATCATTATCATAGTTGTAGTCGAGACCACTTAAGACCTTCACAAGACCACGCAAGACCAACACAAGACTGCCAGTCTGAATTCAAGTCACAAGCTATTCAATTGAACTGCAACAATAGCATTCCTTTGTCATTGTTCAACCTGTTACTTGTGACTGGTTTTGTGCATGGTCTTGTGTCTAGTCATGTGATGGTCTCGACTACATCACTGCCCTCATAATGTTGATTATTATTACTATACACTCTGACCAAAAAATAACTTTAAAACTGATGTAGTGAACATCTGCATTTTATAATCAGACATAATTTATAAGAAAGGAATTAGTTTTGGTTTTGATGCCTTATAAACTTCTTTGAAATTCTGGATGTTTCCTTATGTAGACAATGAAGTACCTGTGTTTCTTAGCTGTCCACCGAATATCACCATCAACCTCACATCTGCAAGGACAGACGCTGTGGCTGCATGGCAACCCCCTATTGCATCAGACAACTCAGGATTCTACAGCCTCACATCAGATCATGACCTCGGAGACTTCCTTCCAGTAGGAGAAACCTCAGTGCACTACACTGCCACCGATGCATCTAAGAATGTTGCAACTTGTGAATTTGCCGTTAGCATACAAGGTAACCATGAAAGTGAGATGTTGATTGTTTATGGGCACTTTAGCATCACGTCCTTTCCCATGTACATTTTATCAATAAACAAGTGAATGATAATAGATGAATTTTTCAGAATATTCACACTTTGTGAATGCTGCATGATAATATACTGTAACCAATATCCGGATTGCATTATATCAGATATCAAGCAAGACAAAATTTTTAAATTCAAGTCAGTGCTTCTACAAAAAAAAAATTCAAACAAGTTCCGAAGCTGTATTTTGTTGTCTCCTTAATCTTATTCTCAACACAAGACAGAAAGCGATACAGTATCATTTTGCTACATGTGTCTTGTGAACATACAGGGAATCTTTCACCCAGTCAGAGACTTCCTTCTTTGACATGAGTGTGGTCATTTTCCTTTCAAAAAAAGATCTGACGCCTCTTGAGTTCAGCAACTGCCCAAAAGATGTCACTCACATCTTGCAGAGTGGCCAATCAGGAGACAGAGTGACATGGCAAGAGCCAATCATCTCGCTGGAAAGCAGGGATGTCTCCATATCAGCCACTCACAGGCCTGGGGAGTGGTTTGACATGGGCCACACTGGTGTGAGCTATACAGCTGTAGATAACCAGGGAAACTCTGGATATTGCAACTTCATTGTCATTGTCACTGGTAGGCCTGTCTTTCATACATTGCAAGTTGTAGAATACCACACATTTTAATATTTTGACTAGTTGACAGGTTTTGTTTGCATTATATTGAAAAGAGTCTCTGGAATGGACTGGTTCCTTTGTGTCCTTTTTATGCATTGAAAACATTGTGTTGATGCAAGGCGTCTTTTAAGTAAAAGCTTGCCCCGAATCACAAGGTATAGCAACAGTGTCTTCAGTATGGAGAATTCAAATTGTTCTGTTAACGTGAACTTAAAGAACTCAGTGTGCCAGATTTTATTCAAATTTAACTTGCAAAAGGCTTATAGGTTTGATGACTCTCTACGCCTGTACGTCAGTTGGTCATTTTTTGGTTGGTTTTATCATTTGTTAATATGTTAAGTCAGAACTGTTTCATCATTTATCTTGTTAAGTATGTATGTAAGGTATTTAGTGTGTGAAGTACTTCTTTCCGTCATAATTGGCCGTGGGTGACAGTGAAGGGAGTTTCAACCCCACCTATGCACTCGACACTGGCTTCAGGTAATTTACAGTAGTTGTTATATCCTCTCTTTTGTTCTTCTGCCAGGATTTCCATACAACCACTTCACTCGCACTGTAGCATCTTTTCTTCCTGGCAGTAATGACCGCATCTTACTGCACTCCAGCCCTGAGGAGTGCCTGACTGCCTGTATCGTGGAAGAGGCATTCATCTGTCGTTCTGTCGATATCAGTAATGAGGGCAAGTGCATGCTGAGTCGTCGTTCAGCTGCAGATCTGTGGGAGATGATAGCTGCCAATAAAGAGTTCACTCACTATGAGAGACTGATGGGTAAGACAGTAGCTGCTGTGTAATATTTGCTTACGGACCAAGAACAACTCACTTCATCCAAACATGGAATGCGGTATGGATTGTCGAGCTGAATAGTTACGCAGTTTTTCTCATATCTTTTGACAGTAATTTGTTACCTCTAATTACAGGGAACACAAGACCTGTTTTGATTGGCTGCCCAAAAAACATGACCCGGCCAACGGAAGCCGGTCAAGCCTATGCCATTGTCAGCTGGTCGGAACCAACAATGAGTGACAGTGAACCAGTTCAAATCATAGCCACACACTTACCAGACTCAAGGTTCTACGTCGGAGAGACACAAGTAGTGTACGAGGCTACGGATGATACAGGGGGAATTCTGAGCTGTGGTTTCTTTATAACCATCAAGGGTTTGCTCACTTCACTTTCTTAAAGCTATCCTAACAGTCCCAAATCCTCCAATTCCAATATGATTTTTACATGCACCCTAGGGGGTTAAGGTTAATGCAAGTCCATCAGAAGTCATCTAGTCCAACACAAAGTCACAAGCTCTTGAAATGAACCGTAACAAAGTATATGCAGCTACTTGTAACTGAATTTGTGACAAAATGTGTAATGGACTCAACTACAGTCCTGGTACAGTGATCACATGTTAAGATTAATCAGTACAGAGGGTGAAAGTTCTGTTATATAAACTGCTGTTGGCAAAATGGCATGTTAGCCGTCAAAATAAGGCAAGGCTATGAGGCTAGGGCTCCCTTGATGACAGCCAGAAAAGATTCTTGAAAGCTTCTTGAGCCAATGAGGCAAATACAGGTGCATACAGGTGCTCCCTTGATGACAGCCAGAAAAGATTCTTGAAAGCTTCTTGAGCCAGTGAGGCAAATACAGGTGCATTGTCTTTGCCAGTTTGTTTCAGGAATGGTCATAATGTGTTCACTTTCAGACCGAGAGGCACCAGTCATACGAGATTGTCCACAGACCATCACCAAGCTTACCAGTGTCCAGGAAACTGTCAAAGCATGGTGGGTGGAACCAAAGGCAACGGACAACTTGGGAGCCCCATAACTAAACGGTACTCACAAACCGGGCGACTGGTTCCCACCCGGTTCTACTAATGTAACCTACAGTGCTCAAGATCAAGCAGGGAACCAGGCAGAATGTTCTTTTACTGTGACAATAAAGGATATTCCCGGTAAGGTTCTGTTAAAATTGCATTCTGCTGTTAAGGATTGACAACACACCAGCGAGGGCCTGTGCCTATATCAGCAAGATCTTCCCTGCAATTTCTAAACATTCTGGACTTTCTTTTGACTCCATTTAGTAGGAGGTTTTTACTTAAGGAAGTTTCATAATCAGTTTTAAACAGGATGATTGAGAATGCCAATTTCGTATGACATTAAAATAATTTCGCGCTGAAAATTTGGAAAAATTGAACACATTTCAGCTTGTGAATGTTTTGTGACATACAAAAGTCGAATTTTTTCTCTTACAAAGTGATAAATGTTAATACTATTGCCCTCAGCCAGTTGAAGCCAAAAGACAGTTCATTATTCAAAGAAATTAGATGGAAAATTGTCACCACTCTCTTTTCCCAAAGTGAATTAAACATGAATTCTTTGGTACCACTCTATATTGATATCCGTTTTTCTTTTCTGTTTTCCTCAGGTGCAAATTATATTTCCTTTCACTTGATACTTGACAACATCACGTACGTCAGTGATCTTCACAACAACAACTCAGAGGAGTTTCAGAAGTTGGCCTCCACAGTTGAGAAAGATGTGAAAATTGGCTTTTTCTCACTTGTCTTTTCGAGATAAAACTTTACTGATCTTTACTGTGCAAGTGGGGGCACTCTTTCTATCCGGCATTTCCTAATAACTTGACTAATGTCTCCCCATTGAAGTGTTTCATTCACGGCTCAAAAATATGATGATTTTTTCCCAAAACAAGACACCCCTTTGAAAAAACAAAGGAATAAAAACAGTATACCAGCTGTCTTCGTACTTGACTATTCACTGCCTTGATATATTCAGTTGTTTTTCACTGTATAAACCCATTCAAACCAACATGGCATAGGCAGAAGAAGATGGGATCTAAAAAAAACTAATTACACTTACACATGTAGCATTATTGCAATATACATTTTATAATTAAGATACAAATTTATCACTAAGTGAAAATCTAATCTACAATTTACCAAATGCTCCAGTAACATTTGGCAAAACTTAAAACTGAGCTTGATTCAATTCCACAACAGCTTAAAACTGTTTCTTCCAAAACAGGTTGTTGGCCACCCAACACTGTAGACCTTTCAAAATATTTGGGACCAGAATCTTTGTAGTGTCAGAAGTGAAATCCTGTGATTTCATATTTTGCAGGTATTAAAGGCATTCAATGATGATATCACTGTACTGGGTGTTTTTGTTGCTCAGTTCAGGTGAGTTAATTATATGTCCTCGTTTTCATCATTTTTAAGTTTTGAACATGGCCTGGCCAAGTATTTCAGTACAAAAGAATAAAGCATGCGTAGGGCAAAGCAGTTTACCTGGGGAGAAAGTATTTTCAAAAGCTGAAAGATAATGTATTGAATTCTTCAAAACTTTTACAATAAATCCCACCTCTGTACCTCTAATGATTTTTGAGGAAATGTCTTCAGAAGAACTTGTTTTCCTGGATAGTCTTACAGAAGGGCTCGTTAAGCTTTTTTGATTCCTTTGGCAGGTCCGATGGGGATGATGTAATCGCAGATGTCAAGATAGGATTCTCACAGCCTCTTAGCCCTCAGGATCAGCGTGATAAACTGAGTGCAATGTTAGCAGCTACTGTGAACAAAATAATGGAAAATGTGACGCAGGTGAAACTGGAGCAAGACAATGGTTTGTACTTAATGCTTTGCAGAGTTAAGCATTCATGTTCTATACATTAAAATATATATCTGGCATTCTTTGGTCAGCACATCACTGCAAGACAATGTTTATTCTGTCAGTCATTTTTTAATGAAAACAATGATTGATGTGAAACAAAACTTATGAAGTTCTTGCTTTATTGTGGTAGTTAATGGTGATACTTTGAAATCTCTTACACCAAAAGAGGCCCCTGGCCAGGCAATCTTGGTGGCTTTTTCCAACAAAGTAAGGAGATCTTTTGTAAATTCCAGGCTACTTAGAACTGTTCTAGCAATATTACTGATATGCATTGAGCTTTTTGATACTTTCCCCTTTTATCAAGTTCTCCAACAGATGCACCCCTGTATGAATTTGGAGTTTTCCCCACCAGTTGATATGGGGCCTAGTATGTCCCGTAACGGCAGTGTGCTCATTTATGAGGTTTTGTTGTTTTTTTTGCAGGAAACTTGGCAATTTTAGATGCATGCACCCTTTCACCATGTCCAGTCACTATGAAATGCAGACCAACTGGTCTTCAATGTTCTGCCACATGTACTGATAATCCTGACTACTGCCTGAATGGTGGCAAATGTTGGACGAATGCACAGAACCTTGTTATGTGCGAGTAAGTCCACATTATCCCAACGGCACTGAATCCTTCCATTTCAGTATAACTTTGAAGACTACAAACTTTTGATTTTACCACACAGTTATGCAATATTTACATGTATGTCTGACCAGATGCAGTGAAAGGAAAACTTGCACAGAATTTCTGCTTCATTTGTGTTACAGCAGAATGAGATCAACATTTTGAAATATCCCCCGGACACTTTTAGAAACAACTTACAATTATATGCTGCAAAGTTTCCCTCTAACCCCCCCAAAAGGAATTTCAAGGCTTTCCAAACTTAAATTTAATAAACTGTCTCCCAAGAAGAAAACCAAGAAATTTCAAAAATTCTCATCAACACCACTTCTCTCAAGCTATCTTAGTTTGCTAAAAAAATTAAATTACAAAAGAACACTACTGTTATTAGTTCATTAATCCTACTGCTGAACTTTTTAAATGTATGGTTTTACATTGCCAAAGGACACTTGAACATGACGTGTCTCTAAATTTTTTACTCTTCAGCTGCAACAACGAACACCATGTATATGCCTACTCTGGAGACAGATGTGACTTGACCAGAATTGCCTTAACTGGTAAGCTACCATCCTTGATATTCTCGGAATGGTTATGGGATGGAGTTGTAAATGCAAGCCCGTATGTACAGGGTGTCCACATAAAAAGTATACTGAGATAAAATCACTGTACTGGCAAAACTACTGTATGTATGGAAAAGAGAAATGTATGTCTAGAGCAGAATGCCCTCTTTTCAATGGTATACAGCTTGTGGTGTTATTGCCACAGATGAGTGAACAAACTAGACCAATGTTAAAGGTACTGAAATCGGCACTGTGACAAATTTGCATATTTGATTAACAAGGCTCAACCATGCAAGTGTGCAGAATACCGAATGCCTTGGCTTTAAGAGCACATTCTTGAAAGTAAGGAATGTACCTAAATCAATCTAATTTGCTTTTTTTTTCACAACTGACCTCATAAGTTTTATGTGATATGCCCTCCACATGGCCACCTTTCCTGTCAAGGCACATCTGACATTTTTATGTAATTTTTATCTCGGTATACTTTTTTGTGGACACCCTGTATAGCGAAGATTCCCACTTTTTGAACTTGACAGTACATATGCACATTCTCTCCATATCGATTCGGTAAGTATCAACTCCAGGCTTGAAAACACTCATCCTGATTGCCATATTCAATATTGAGACCGAAAGGGCATACCCTGCATGTGGAGATGACCAAATTGTAACGGAATGAGCACAATGCTCAACTATCTAAGGAATTAGGTGAAATACACCGATCAGCTTTTATGCAAGGTGCCCAATGGCAAATCACATACAAATACCATTCATTGATGCTGTGCATTTTCCCCAGTACCACTGGACATAACATGCACGGAGATTCCTGACCTCTCTCTGTTTCTAACATTGCTGATTGCAATGGTACAGGTAAGCAGCTGATTGTCATTAGTGTTGGAGGTGTGTGGTTTGCCATGATGCTGGGTGTGCTGGCCATTTGTGTAATTGCACACAGGTGCAAGAGACATGCAAAGAGAGAGAAAGGGTGAGTTATAGGCCATATCACTCACAAGTAAGCTCTGCCACGTGTATGTCATGTTCCTTGAATCTATTTCCATCCTCTTCTCAGATTTAAATGCACAAATCATAACCATGCACTTGAGTTTCACTTGGCAAATCTAGGCATAAACAAATGCACATAATGGAGCTGAACGACACAGCATCTGTTCAGTTTGTTTGCATTTACAATTTGCAACACTGGTTGCACTTGTTTTCCAATTCAGAAAAGAAAGTTTGTAGTGACACCATATTGGTGATGATGTCTTGTATAGACGAGCCTTGTGATGACATCCAGCACATACTAAGTGAACTGGATATGCAAAATGTGTTCAGGGCTTTCAAAACCACTGGTGACCCATAAAAGAGATTCTTGGACTGTGTCTATAGCCATCTTCCACTAATCAACCTTGCAGACTGTCAAAGTTATGTTTTTAAAATGGGTGTGCAAGCCAAGGCCCTAATAGAACACATTTTATCTCTAACCATACCAATTAAGTCCTTATTCATTGACACCTGGGTTCATCTATGGTCTAGGGCTACATGTATCTTCACTGTTGCATTCAGCATGTTCTTTAGTAGCCTCCTTATCTTGTTATGAATGTGCATGCCACCATTAATTGCTGCTTACCAGCATTCTTGTTTGCAGGGCTTGCCAAAAGCTCAAAACCTGATGAGACCTTTTTCCTTCTGTTCCAGTGCTGAGGCCAACTATCTTATGCACGTACTTCAAGGCAGATCAGCAGAATCACCTGCAGGCATGACAAGCGAGGATCTAGGCTACACCTCCCAAGGAGAAGGAGAGACGAGTTTGCCTGATAGCGATGTGCAGGCGGGGATCGACTCAGCAGGCAGCCAGGAGGAGCCGGCCCCCCACCTGGCAGAGGGGACGCTTGGAGTCGGGGAAGGCCCTGATGGCTTTGCTGGCCCCTACGAGAGGAGCACCGGCCCCCGCGGGAGCTGCGCTGGCCCCCGTGACAGCAGCGTTTGCCCTCAAGACAGCTTAATCGGTCCTCATGACATCAGCGCTGGCCGTCAAGATGGCTACACGCTCAAAGAGCACTCCCACAGCGGCAGCAGAACCTCATGTTCCTCGTGTACATCTTGTTCCTCATCCCCTTGCTGTGCCTCCCAGTCCCTGAATTCCCACTCTTCTTGTTCTTGCTCTTGCGACAGCGGAACGGAAGTCGTCAAGTTCCCCGGCACAAGCAATTCCACTAAGATGCACAGAGAGGGGGCTTCAGCCTCTGTCGCCAGACCCCTGTTGATTACAGTCCAAGCTGATGTTGAAAGAATCCCCTTTGCACCGTCTGACGTTGCCCATTCCTACGACGGAGAGATTCCAGACCCACTTATTGACAGTGAGATGCCCGAAGATGAACAAATTCACTTTGTCAATTCACATCCACAGGCCAGCCCCAAAGATCCACAGGAAACAACCCCACTGTTGTCCCACTGCTGGGACGGATATACATGTACGCCCAATCCTGCTTTTGAATTTGACCAATCATTTGACACCACTTCCATTATCGAAACACGGCCAGAATTAATCAAGTCAGCCTCCGAACGAGCCTCTTTCTCATCTGGACGTACCCATTCCTACGATGGGACAATACCAGATCCTGTTTTAGATTTTGATGAGAGACAGTCCAATGATGAGAAACTGTCCAATGAGACAATGCCAACTTCTGACAAGACCCCCATGGAATCTGCAATCAACAGTGAAAGATCCACCTGCCAAGTTTTGTGTAGTCTCCCATCTACCAATGAAGGCACAAGTGACGTCGTGATGACTGAGGAACACTTTGTCTGAGATAGTCATCAGAGCCGTGTTTCTATGTTAAATGTAGAAATTTGAACTCAACTCAAACATGGAAGATGCAAGTACATGCAGAGACCAACCACCACTGCTATGGTTAAGTCACTTTCCCAATTTACAAGTGCAAGGTATAGACTACATGTAGTAGAAGTCAAAGTAATGACTAGATACTATGGAGTCATGTGTGGGAATATGACTACTTAGAAGTTGGTGTGAAAGAATTATTCTAATGTCAACTGAGAAATTGTGTTTCCCTGTTCTTTCTGCAAAAACCCGGACGCATTCAGCATATCTTTGTCAAATCTTGTACTTCCCACCCCAAATCAGAAGTCCCAGTACTTAGAGCATAATGTTCACTTAGTTTTTCAGGCCGAATTGTCACTGCAAGTACCATGTTGCATTTCAGCGTACACATATGGCTGTACCTGTGTGGCCGGGAAAGGACGTCAACCATAGCACTGTGAGTGACACGGGTAAGACGCCATGGATATAGCATTGTCAACGTTAATCCTTTTCCAACATTCCTGCAAGTATTGCGTTTCTGTTTTTTCAACAGTCCCAGTGCTGCATGCAGAGTTCTTTTTTGTTACGCACATATACCCTGCCTCTGGGTTTTACACTGACTGCCTCTGCACAATACATGATACTAAAATCTGTGCATGTACACATACATTTATAACTCCCATGGAGTGTGTTGGGCAAGAATGGATGGGTAGGTCTTTCCCACATGAAGGGGGCAATTTGTTAGAAAGGTCGGGACCAAGTCGTGGGAACAAATATTTGTCCCCGTAACAATTTTGGCCCCAATAACATTCGTATTTCAACTTGAGCCTCGTCCTCATAACCCAGTACAGTGTAATATGTATGTACAAACTGGCAAAGTATACAGAAATGGGTTTGTAAATGACGACAGAGTAGCTTTACACAATAAAATTGAAAATTTAATTATTCTTCTTGGAAATTCCATATGAAGTGGTTGGAAGAAGTAGTCTATAAAAAGTTAAATACAAATCCAAGTATCTACCGGTATATATTATCTCTTACTGTCTGTTACTCTTTGAGTTGCTTAATTATTTACAGCATGTTATTGTTTGTTCATATAAAAAAGTACATTTAATTTGTGTTCAGTATTAAAGTATGGCAAAATTCTAATTTTCCAATTAGATTCTGTTCTGATTTAGTAAAGAATTATAAGTGGAATGCACAATCATGAACTACATGTAAAGAAATGAATGTGGTGGAAAGCTGTGTACATGTACTTGATGCAGATGCACAACAGACGCTCATAAATACGTGTACCTAGTGCAGGTTAACCATTCCCATTGGTTGAGAGTCCATCATGTGTCCAGTCTTTAATAGTTGATAACGCATCGATTGGCCAATCTTAAAGTAGTAATTGCAGGAGATTTTGGTTTTTGCTATTTGAGAGATATACAAGAAAACACTGCCACTTTGCTCACAGCCTGACAAAGATGGTGGATCACAGGAAATGTGTGGGGGGTTGCACATGTGACAACAGTGCAAATGTGCACAAAGAACGCTCTCAACAAAATCCTGTTATGGAGATCAAATTCCCAGATCAACTCAGTACTGTTGTTTTTCTTTATTAAGTGCTTTTATGATTACCATAGCTTTCCACTGTCTGCACAAGGTTCATGGATATGTCATTTGGCAAACCCTAGCAACGAAAGTTGACTTTTAATGAACCAGGGTCCAATTTAAGGGCACTGCTAAGCATACGATTTACACCAACAGAGGTTCTGCACATTTCATGGAGATATGGTAAGCAGTAAGCATTGAAAAAGGCATGCTTACCCCACAGGAAATATTTTCTTAACTTAGTGAAGTAACACTAGAAATTTCTATGTGTGCACAAATGTTGGCACAGCCACGCCGAGTACCCCGTATGGTTAACAGAATTTTGGGCAATAGTAAGCTCAAATTTTCTGCTGTTTAGCAGCCCCATGAATTGGGCCAAAGACTCCATTTATCTGAACAGTGAACTAATTTAGTTTTAATCTGCTTCTTTCCACAAGCTGCCAGGAGGCATAAAGAAATGAAGATTGGGGTTAAATACGATTAAAATCTCCAATATCCTTTATTCCAACACAATTTAATCTTGACAATTTCTGACCGTCATACCACTTGAAAAGCATAAAAGCATTTTGGTTTGTTATATTTCGGGCACTTTGTTGTCACATAATGGCTGTGGTAATCAATAATTTGACCAGAAAATTGTATTAACGATGAATACAAACACCATTTGGGGGGAAAATATGGCCATTTCACAATAGTGCGCCACCAAGAGTTTGCAACGCACTGGACAATCACAATGCTCGAAATTTGTTTGACCCAATGCGCGTTTGGACAGGGTCGACAAATTTTGCGCGTTATGATCGGCCAACGCGTTGCAAGCTCTTGGTGGCGCACTATTGTGAATCGCCCATATTGCCCCCAAAAGACTCCTACACTGAATTTTGTATGTAAATTTACTGCATAGATCCAAGTGTAATTTGATAAACTGCCAGAAACTTCATGGAGATAAAACAGAGCACGTGTAATTATAGGGTTTCAGGAAACTATTGCTCTTAGAAGACAGGCAAGCTTCAGAGTGTATAAACTAAGTTCGGGCAGCATGTTCATGAACAGCTTGATTTAATGTTTGTTGGTTGACCGCTTGACCACTAGGAACATCCAACTGGACGTACAACTGATTATACATGTAGCTGGTAGTTACCGATAAGCAACTTACAACATGGCAGCATCCATGTACATTATTCAAGTTCATGTTTGGATTTCTGGGCTGCAATCTTTCCTTTTTAAAAAGAAACATTCCTTTCTGTATTACAGAAAATTACTAATGTTAATTTTACAAAACTTTTCCATTGTCTCCGGCTTTGTCGGCCATCTAGTTATTTTTGCAGCCGTTCAATAATCAATATCCCAAACTTTTTCTATGTGTTCGTGCAAAACCCTGATGAGTTGGTGGAGGGTTTCCGAGAACACTGTTCTTGAGTCATATTCCCACAGTTCAAGGGCAAGAACAAGGAACACACATCAAGAACAGGCCACTCGAACTTGACCCCAAATTTCAGGCCATGTTCAGGACATGTTTTCATACCCAGCCATAAGTTTTAACTACTCGTAGTGGACAGTTTTCCTTGTATTGTATCACAAAATGCTACTTAATATCAACTTTTTTTTACACAATGCCACATGAATTTTGCTTTAGAAAATTATACATGGCAGTCTGCCATACAGTTTGACGTGCACCTGTCATCTGACTGGTGGTTGCATTCTTTATCCCAATGCACGGTGCAGCTGCACTGCAAAACGGAATGTTCCATTCTGTTCCTCCTCCTACTGCAGTGCAGGGATTTATTCAAGCAGTGATGTAGAGACTTGCCCTAGGATATACTCAGGCACTGTATAAAACAATATTCCTGTCACCTCAAAAAACTATTCAACTGCACCAACAAACATCTGTTTGTACCAGTCTATTTAATGTAAAACTGATCACTGTTAACAGTTTTGATATTGAGAATAATGCTTCACATAAGTACCCTGATGAACTCTACATGGAAACTGCAGCAAGTGCGACTTGCAGTTGGGTTCATGTATTTCAACAAAGTATGCTAAAAATGAAGTCATGTCAAAGGTCATTCAAAAGACATCAATGTGCACGTGTAAGGTTGACCCTAGTAATACAGCCATTCACATCGGCTGCCGAGTTCTTGAATAACCTTGCCTTTTGGAAATACTGAACTGGCTCATTGAAGACCCAGTGATTTTCAAATTCCATGAAAATTGGATACACTATCCAAATTTGTTCGCTATACCTAGGATGTCGTAGTTCAGGTCACCATACATGTATGTGTTCCACCCATGGGGTTCCAGGAATGTCTCTAGAAAATATTGAAATCTACATGCTTACTCCAGCATTACAAGAAAAGAATTCTTAGAAAAATACAGTGGCCTCTTCGAGACAGGCATAGTGACATGTAGCACTAAACAGTGAATTGTTCCTTTAGTGGAACCCCTTCACTATCACAAAAGGCTGGATTCAGTTCTAACAGAGAAGCACAAACAAGAGTTTAAACTCTGAAGGCAATTCAACTGACCCAAACTCCCTTGGCAGATTTCTTCCAACAAACCTTTTGGAATTCTCAAAATCCCTAGTGATGGAACCCATTGACAGATTCTCTGTTTTTTTTATACTAAACCGTTCAGGGCACAATATTTGCTGGATTCTATCTTCCTCAATCATAAAAAATTGTCCAGTACCTCCTGGTAGATTTCAAATTAACTGGAGGGGTTAGCATCCATTTCCTCACCAGAGCATCTGCAACCAACATGCAAGGAACAATCGCCTTAACCCTAACCCCCCAAGGGTTGCTAGCCCTAACCTTCCCCATTCACACAAAATTAAAGACCCATATGGGACAGTGTGCACAGAGGCTGTTGGACTTAGTTTTTCTGAGGTATGCCAAACCCAATGCAAAACCCAGCTGTTATGGGCCCACCAGACCTATCCCCACAGAATCAAATACTTTACTACTGTTTAATGCTGTGTGGTTGGGGAAGGTTGGGGTTAAAGTCTGAGTACTCCAGGTCCATCTCCACCGCGTTATGACTTTGTTTCCTCCTGGGGACTGTCTAGTAATGCTGACCTGATGCCCAACTTCTGCAGCTCCTCCACTAAGTCACCGTTCTGGTGCATCTGGAGCATGATGTCACAGCCGCCGACAAACTCTCCGTTGAAGAAAATCTGAGGGATAGTCGGCCAGTCGGTATAATCCTTCACACCTGGAGACAGGTGGGAAAAAAAATTGGAGCAGTGAATTGGCCACGTGACGCCCTCTGCAAAAAGGAGTCACAATTGGAATCTTCAATTCCAAAAGAACCCTACAGCAGACACATTAGACACTTTCAGGACTATTTTGGGGGTGACATCAGAGAATTTTGATACCAGATAGGAGCTACTTTGAGTGAAATCAAGTAATGGTGCACAAGGCTTGAAAGCTTCTAGGACTCTACTAGTACTATTGCCCACTATGTCCAAATGTTAAAAGCGATTCGTAGTGTCCAGTTTACTCAGACTACGTGTATGTACAAGTAAGTGATATTTCATACATCCCTGAACATGCTGAACTTTTTTAAAAAAAACACCCATGTCAACATCAAAAAGATAAAAAAAGGAAACAATTACGCCTATAACAAGTCTGGAGTTCATCACGCCCACCACACTCCCGCAAAATATGGCAGGAACCTGTAGTCAGGGAGGCTCATTAATTTTTCAACCATCTTTTTCTGTTTTCTTTTTGAAATGATATTGGAAAGGATGTCATAAGAAACACGATTGTTGGGCACATGCCCCCCCCCCCGCTACGCCACAGTGGTAGTCCATCCCACATGGCCCATCATCGTCATGGGGGTACAAAACATCATCACCTAATAATGTACCTTGCCTGAGGTCATCATCCTCGAGTACATTGTGACTGCTATAATCCTCCACTCCGTGCATCCGGAGTATCTGCACCACAGCATTGCTGAACCCACACATGGGCTGTTCTGGAACTCCCTTCATGAACACGACGACTTTGTCGCTCTTTGCAAGCTTTTCGATGTTTTCCTTGGTGCCAGCATTCGCTGCATAGAATCTCTCCTGGATGAGGAATCTGTAGGTCCGGGGCCGCACCAAAAGCTTTGCGATGCAATTCATTGTGTTGTCAAACGAATAGTTTTAAGAAGATTAATAGCTCTCAAATTAAGCAAGACAGGTCCACCAGTACCAGTAAAGAAGGATTAGATGTTTTTATGCAAGAGCGCAGATGAGCTCGCTACATTTTTAATGCTGTGTGATTTGACTTATGACCTCCAGCCAATAGCATGGTACCACATACTCCAGTTTTACCCGTGCTTCCCCTTCTGTAATACAGTGTCATCTGGTCCGAGGTCCAACCCCATTAACTTTTTACGCGCAATTCGTTCAAAACCGCTTTCGTGCGTGCCGTCGTCGACATGCCACGTACTGAATTGAATTGCCGAGACATCACTAACAAGTGCACGAAGTTAGTAGAAAACCTGGTCTGGCTCGAATCGTTTGAGCAAAGTATAAAGCCTGACAGGGTCAAGGTTAGGGGTGACTGATCTGCAGGTGTTGTATGTAATGGATAAGGAAAGCGTGGAGAAACACCGAAACTTGCGGGTGGCGGTGGAGAAAGGCAGAACCGATATTTTGCGAGCAGTTATCGGTGGCAAAACAAACAAGACAGACGGTGGGTGTGGGCCTCAATTATCTTCTTACATGTCTTAGCACAGGTTACAAGGTTGAATAGTTTCTACCCCTGAACAGTTTTTACCCCTGATATAGGCCTAGGCATATACTGTTATTAATACCGTGGTATCTCTCCCAGGTTTTAAACTGGAAAGAGTTCCATGACATAAGGAGAACACTAATTTTCCCTTAAAATGTTACAACAGCCATCACAAAGTGATAACATTGCCCCAAAAGTGAAATTTACCATGGAAAATTCTGAGCATTTACTTCTTACTTAGGCCTATTTTTTTTTTTTAAGTTTCAAAGGTTTGTGCACAGGGGCATCAAGTGTTGTACATTATACGGAACTCTTTCCCCCAGATCTTAGTGCATGTATCTGTTATTAGGCCTAGCCCCACCTTACCAATTTTCTGCTACAGTATCAGTAAGCGATAGCATGTCCTCAAGAGTCAAATTGAGAAGGGAAAATATTTGAATTAAGAAGTTCCTCGTCATGTGGTAGGATGGCTCTGTATTCTGCTGGTCACCTGTTCATCTTGCCATTCACTGGCTTTTTAGCATGTTGTTTTTTATACCCGTCATCTGATTGTTGTGTCATGTCAAATGTTTTATGTATATATTTTCAATGTATTAATTTTTTTGTCTTGTTTTACAATAGCCAGTGGAAAAGTGTAATAAAATAAAATGAATCAAATATTTTCTGTGAAAACATGGAATTTATTCAAACCTGTCGCATAGTCTGGGTTTAATTGTTTACAGCATGTCAAGTGATGTCTGTGTATGAAACTTTTCCCATTACAAATCATACATGTACTAGGAAGTGAATAATTTTTGACTCTTGGAGTGCTGAAGTGAATGGTAATGCATCCCAATGTGCAAGTCGTGGCAGGAGGTTTATTGCATGCAGTATTTGGGTACAGTAATCAAAATATCAAAACTGAGACACAACAAAAGAATTTTCCAAAGCATGGTTTCTCTTACTACACTCCAAAGTTTTGCAACAGCAGGCACTGAGAGCTCATGAAAGACAGAAAAACCTAGATGCATGAAGAGGATCGAGAGTCTAAGTCTCTGAACTAACTCACAAAATTGTTTCTTAAGTTCCCAATCATTTCATGTCGGTTTCAGGTTGTCAAAACTCTGAATGTACTTTATATAGTCGGGGGAGTCAGTCACTCTCCCGGCCATTCCTTGCGGCTCTCGCTACATGTATGTGTGCCGCACCCGCTTTCAGCATTGCTTCAGCGCTACACATAAAGAAAACTTTGACAGTCTACTAATCCACTGTGTGTTAGTGTTCCTGTTTGATCTTTTATCTTTTTTTGGCATTCAGGATGAATTCTGGAGGGTTTGGGACCGGGTACGTACATGTGTCTTCCTCTCTTTTCAGTTTTGACAAAAACTGTGGGACATGGGCAAAGTAGCTCATGGGTTAAGTGGTAATACATGTAAGCCTCTTGCGAGTTAAATTTGAATAAAATCTGGTACACTGAGTTCTTTAAATTCACGTGAACATATCAATTTAAATTCTCCGTACTAGAGACACTTGCTACATCTCATGATTCAGGGCAAGCGTTTGCCTAGTTACATAAGAAACGTCTTGCACCAAAACTAGAGACTGTTTTCAATGGATAAGAAGGGGACTAAGGAACCAGTCCATTCCAGAGATGGTGGTCGCTATGCAAAAGGTTGCCCCGAATCATAAGGTATAGCAACACATTGTCTTTAGTATGGGGAATTCAAATTATTAATTATGTATAGCGCAATCAGATACATGTACATGTAACTCACAATCAGATTTTATTCATATTTAACTCACAAAAGGGCGAAGTGGTAATTGGGTGAAGTGGTACTGTAAATGGGGGTGGTGGATGTGGGCAAAGTGGTAAATGGGTCAAGCGACTGTAAACTGTGGTAACAATAGAGTCTGTAGAGATGATGTCATTTGGGTTATTTCATCCTGGTCCCTAGAACTACCATGTGGACCAGTTCTACTGGCATGGGTTGGGCAGTTGCTGGAAGTTCTATGTGCTACAACATCTACTCTGATCATGCATGGTCCTCAATTGCACATGTGCATTTGTCACACTTTCGTGACTTCTCTGTACTGTCTTTATAGTGATACATTAGTGTCATGGTCTTTGTTGTCATTGTTGCGGAGGAAATATTTATGTATCACTAGGGTTAACTGTCATTACAAGTTTTTATTTCCCAACTGTAGCATTGGTCCCTTTCCAAGCAATCATTGGAATCTACCCGACATTAGTGCTTCAGGGCCAACCCAACTGCAGAAATGCACATTTATCTGCAATTTTGGGTGTTATTTAACTTTTTTCCAGGTGAAACCCCGGTTAGAGGTGCTGTGAAATGAGAATTTCATGCAAATATTCATAGCGCTGAACTTTGTTGAAATACCAAACACACACCCGTTTTAGTTTGAAACTTTAGAAAGTGACATTTTTTAAATTTCCGTGGATCTTAATGGGCCCTCGGAGATTTTCTGTAGCCTACAGTACATGTACCAGCTCAGTAGCTCCTACTTTCTGATTAAACATGTACATATAGATCTGTCTCGTTGTATTCTATATTGTTCCTTTTTTTGAGCGACTAACTTTTTTTTTTTTAAAGCAGTTCACACTGTTGTTCCTTTGCACAATAGCTTTGTTTACTGTAAAAATTGTAATTGCCCATCATATGGGACACATTCTCCATTCAGATATGGGTCTGTCCACACTAACGGATACATTTGCACATAACCAAAATCATCTCTTTCTTCAACAGTGTTGAGAGTCAAGAAATGAATTTTAACAATTTCACTGATATATGTATAACTGTGGCGATATAGTTTACACAGTTTAATAGGATTTGGTTGTTCATTGTTAAAATAATCAGAATCTTGATAAAAATGTTCAGTCTAACACATTTGGGGTTCTGGTGGGACGTGCACATCACTGTGTCAGCTCATGTTTTTCAGGTAATCTGAAATAACACTCCTGTAGAGAAAAGCAATTCATCTGTTAAAACATGGGTGTCATAGGTATAACATTTGAAAAAAGGGTCAAAATCTATGGCTTTTTATTTATTTTAGTTATCTTAAACTGGAATTTAAGGAGAGCTATTTAATTAATAACGTATGTCACCGTGTCTGTCCACAAAGTGACAAACATGAAACAGGCTGATTTTGCCATTCTTGGAACAGATAACCTGATCAAAAGCATATACATGTATCTTCCTGAGAAAAGTTTTTAAAATAATAGTTGACATCATATTTCTGGTGGTTTTTTTCTATCAGATGACAAAACTAAGATTTGATGTTAGGAGTTGCAAATGTCTGTCCACTATTTTGTATCGTTTGTAAGATTTGTAAGATTTGATTTTAGGAATTGCAAATGTCTGTCCACTAACATTTGTCACAACCATTTTTTCTACTAAATGTAAAGATCTTAGAAGACTTATCTTATGAGTACATATACATTTATTACAAAACCGATTTAAATAAAATAAACAATTCATTAGAAAAAGGTGGTTCATTTTGCTGAAATAAAAGTGACAAGACTCTCTGTCCCTAGGTTATGATATGTGACAACGTTACGTCTGTCCATGTGACAAACGTTACTCATTGAGAAAAACTTACATAGTGTTCATTTAAGTTGAAGTTTAATTCTGTTTTCATGCTATAATTCAAACACCAGAAAAATTTCTGCCCATGTGATATACGTTATATCTTTCCATGTGACAAACGTGATGTCTGTCCAGTGACAAACGTCACATATTTTTCTGGAAATGAATTTCAATGTTACGTGTATCGACTTTGGAATTGTTTTTATGAAATAATGAAAGTTTCTAAAAGTACATGTAAACTGAAAAGAGTATTTAATATATTGCAGGTAATTTTCAATTGTGTTTTGAATTTAATGTTTAATGTTAAATGTTTTTCACAGTTAAGAAACAAAGTGTCTGTCCATGTGACAAACATTATGTACATGTATCTTCAAGAATAAACTTCTGTAATTTCTTAAATACGCTCAATTTATCTTTACCTTCTGTGGCAACAATCAGAAACAGTGAAGACTTATGTAAGCAAAAAAAATTGGCAAAATTTTACAGTTGGAAAAGTTGTATTGAGTGTCACACAAATGTAGCTGTTAGTGTGGACAGACCCAAATGTACATGTACATTTTAAGAGTCCATGCAGTGAATGTTCTTATACTCACTTTTTGTCCAACTTTATACTCCTCTTTGTAGGAAAACCATTAATCTGATATTCCTTTGGGTCAGTTTTATTGAAGAGTGTGTATTAAGTACGAGTATTTAAAATTGTCCATTTTGGATTGCTGTGATGTCATTCAGGGAAGACACCGTTCAGTGTGTACATACATTTTCCCGTTCAAATTCTGATCAAATTGTGAACTCAAAATTACCACACTGAAAGACGTTTAGAAGAGGCGGCTTATTGACTTGCTACCATGGGCTTGTGTGATTTCGAATTACTGCAGAAAAGTACTACACTGTACATGTAGTACTGTAATTTGGAATGCAAGCAAATATAAAAGAAATTCCAGAACTTTTTGTGCACAAATCAATGTAACATTGAGGTTTCCCGCACAGAATGACATCACAGTTTTGCACATTGGTCTGAAAATATAAAAGAGCCCCCCTCCAAAAAAATTGAAAATCAGGTTTGAAAATCATGTTAATTGAGACACAAAGGTGCATTTTGTGTAAGGGCTGTGCATGTGTAAAATGAAATGTATTGTATGGACTTTCTTACTTGTCTGATGTTAAATGCTGTTAGAGTACTGTATGTAGAGATGAATAGCAAATTAAGCAGAAATAAATAACCCATGTTTTTGGTTTGTAAATGTACTTACTAGTTCATGTACCTGTGTATACAGTGAACACTTAGTATGTAAACCTGTGCCCAGGGGGGGTGTTAGGATTCATAATTTGCTTATATTGAATGGGACATCATCAGTTTATGAGAAAATGAGAGTGCAGGTCAAAGTCCAGAGTATTTGCTTATTTGAATGAAAATACCTATTCAATCAGTTGAATGTATGGTATCGGTTGGGCTGGCTTTGGTACTGTACATGTAGCTGAAATGAAGCATGTACATGTACCTTCATTCACATGTGCAAAATTGAATTGGGTATTCCCAACAGTGCACACACATACAGTATTTGATGGTGTGCTGTGTACACATGTACATGTACACTGTATCCTGCTTCACTGACTGCAGTTAACCACTGATCCGTGACAGCAGTCTGCATTGTGACCAGTATTTATGCAGTCCTCTGCCTTCGTGGCGGTTGGGTGTGTCATATCGGTGTTGTAAAATTTCACAAAGTTCTCTGGAGCTGTTCCTCTGTAATTTTCTTGGCACGATGTCTTCTGACAAGGCTATGTATCCCGGGATGGGAAGTAATTCTACCTACCAGTTTCCCACCACATGCACCACACTTGGGCGTGTTGGTGGCTTGAAAGTTGCTCTGGATAAGGACTTTGCCATATCAACCCGGCGACGTAAGATAACATGTTTTATTTTCTTTTGTACTCCCATTTATACTGTGACTGTGAGTGGCTGTACGTGCCCTCCATGGTACCATGTTATTGTGTAATTGTACCATGGCAGGTTGTACCATTATTATTTTTATTACTATTAATCATTCTAGTAATGACACCAAGGATTCCTCAAAAGTGCCCTTAGGCACTGTAGCTCACATGCACGAAGAAATCTGTAGAGAGGAGACAATGAGAAGCAGTTACAGTGTTAGAGGTGGAAGGAAAAACCCCAGAGGAATATTCTGGGTAAAACCCACGGAAACAGGGTCTGTAAACGCAATCCACGTGTGAACCAGGCCGGGAATCAAACCCGCACCGCAGAGGTGGAGGGCATGGAAAGAACCACTACATCAACATGACTCTCCATACAGTGCCCACTCTGTTTAAAAGTACCCTTTCTGTCACTGAAAAAAAGAATCTAGCGTGGACAGTTTTAACTGCCGGTACATGTAGGTTCATGTACATGTACTTAATGCACTTGTGTACATGAAAGAGTTCCATATGGATGGACGCCACTTGACATCCTATGCACAAACCCCATGAGACTGGTCTGAAAAATTCTAAGCATCTTTTTACATGAAAGTAGATGACTTCGTTTTTTTCCCTCCTAAATTGAACTCTTTTTGATATGTTTTGGCTTTCTGAGCTCAATTGCAGAATACCCCGCCATCCCGCACGATCAACCCTCGTAGCCAGGTACCGCTCAAAGTGTCACACTCTTAAGGGATTTTCACCTTGTACCCACATAAACTAGTCATTGCAGGGGTCGATTTTTTAGAGTGGTGGGGTATTCTTCAATTACTCCGCTTTCTGATAGCCAATACGTCACTGTAGGGAGTAATTACTGGCATCTGTATATGGAACTTTTCTTTCTTAGTTACGCATACATGTACATGTATACATGTGTATGCAGAACCTTTAATAGTCTCTTTTACTTGCACTGTAGGAGGATGTTTAAAAGTGTCACCTGCGTCTTAAGCACAAACACCTAGGCACCTCTCATGCCCTTTC